CCTTCTGGAGAGCAGAGCACAGATCTTATCTTGGTTATGTATCTGCAGCACAGTGTCATGTCAGTAGAATGTATCTACTCCTCCCCCTCCCCCCAAAAAAGTTAATTCCCTATACCCACCTTGGGGTGAGCCTTGTGGAACTCAGCAGAGCTGAATCTTAGACAACATACATAGACTCTGTTACCAGTCCCCTCCCAACTCAGTCTTTCCAGACCGGTAGGACCTGCCATATGGGCCGCTAGGTGGCGCAACGCTGGTGCATCCCTCAGTCCTGGGGTCAGGAGGACCCGATTTCAAATCCAGCCTCAGACACTTACTAGCTATGTGACTCTGAGCAAGTCACTTCCCCTTTTTTGCCTCAGTTTCCTCATCTGTAAAATGATCTGGTGAAGAACATGGCAAATCACTCCAGTATCTTTGCCAAGAAAACCGCAAATGGGGTCATGAAGAGTTGGCTGAAATGACGGAAAAACAACATAGGATCTGCCATGCTTGCAATCTCTACCATTCCACCCCAGCCCCCATCTCCCTCCTTAGCCTTTGAGAACCCAGAGTCATCTTCACCCCATGAGAAAGAACCAAAGGAACACTCAATTGGAGTCAGAACTTAATGTCTGCCAACCTGTGTAAATGTTGGGAAAGGGATCTTGGCACAATCAAATCTTTTCAACGGCATCAATAAAACTTAAAAATAAAGGATGGCTCAATTTTTTCTGGCACAGAGAAGACACTTAAAAAATGCTTGGTGAATTGACTTGAATTTTTGAAAACTACTTCCAGACTAGTCTCAGAACACTATTTCTAATTCAACCTGACCCCTCCTCATGTCCATTCCCACAGCTGAAGAAGTTTTTAATTCATCCCAACAACTTTACTTTGTCTCTTTGGTCTGGTTATGCAGTCCCTAAATATGCAAAAACTCTTATAAAGCTCTACTTGATTACACTCGCCGCCACATTTCCCTAGCGAATTTTGGTTCAAGTCTTTAAAGAGGAAAAAAAAAACACTCTAGGAGGATGGCCCACACTTTATGTCAGCCGCTCACTGAAAACAGAAAACAGGCATTTATCCAATTTGGAGACTGCTTTATAACAAGACATTTAGGAGAGTTTGCTGGAAAACAGGTGAACTTCTGAAACTGCCTTTGGTCCTGAAAGCGGTCTCTCCTGGTTCCGCCTTGGATGAAAGTGGTAATCATAGCAGCACTTTCCTTTCCCTTGAATGGTTCCCATTTCTAGTAAGCAACTACGTGTTTTTATCAGTGGTCAAAGACTTTGTTCCTTTAGAACACTGGGAGGTGTTCTAAATTACATTAAATTAAGCTAAGCACATTTCTTATGGCCCTTGTGATTTGTTTCACGGAGGTTCCTTCTCTGTTAATGCCATTTCTGGGACCAGCCAAGCAGCTCTCATAACCAAGAATGTGCCCCTGCCTGCTTGAAGATTCTGCTGGAAATAACAGCTCATATTTCACTGGAGCTCAAAGGGTTTTATACTTATCCTCCTCACAAGAACCCTGTGAAGTTGGGAGTACAAATATCATTGCCCTCATTTTATATATCAGGAAATAGGTTTGGAGGACAGAAAGGCCTTGCACATGGACACATGGCTAGCAGGTGTCAGAGGCAGGATTTAATCCAGGTCTCCTCAGACTCCTTATCTAGTATGACATCAACCCTTTGTAAGACAGGGGAATACAAAATGTGAAATGCAATTTATCGCGGCCTCACTATATTGTCAACCAAGTATTTAGTATCAGCAAGTGATTACTGATCATCTCTAAGCATTATGAGACACAATAGTGCCTGCCCCCAAAGAGCTTACCATTCAGTTTAGGAGAAATGAAATAAATAGGTAAATTAACTAATAATAAAAGACACTGGAGGATTAGCAGCAAGACGGGCCACGCAGCAACATGGGCTACAGGGCTTCCGAGGAGGGCTGGGAGGATCTGACCTCAGCGGGTGGCTGAGCAGGCCCTCCGAAGGCAGAGAGGACGAAGGAGGGAGAAATGAGAGGAGGCCACGTCGCAGAAGCAGCAACGAACAAAGAGAGAGGAAGACTCAGACGGGTCTCCAGCTGCACCAGTGACATGGATGCGTGATATGTACGAAATGTATTCAGAGCCTCAGCATAAACACCCAAAAGGTGCATCCAAGTCTACGTCGACGCATGACACGAAAATGATGGAATTCTAACTTTAAAAAAGAAAATCCTTTACCACCGGGAAAATAGGTCAAACAAGATGGCTTACAAAGGAAGGAGACTCTGAAATAGCCCATCTTGTGCATCTTCTGAACCACACACACTTCTTGGCGGAAGCTATATTTAGATCAGCTTGCTAACGAGGTGGCAGCAAACAGAGGGGGGGGTCACCTAGGCTCCCAAACATGCAAAACAAGCAAAACTGATTTGCTGCCTTCATGGCTCTACAGCATAAGAACTGGTGGAGTTTTTATGGCATTTTCCTGCAGGAGGCACCTGATATGGATTAGAAATCTAGCCCATGCTCAAGTATTTTTTGGAAATCTTGTTAGGAAAAACCAAGGATCAAAAAGACCTGGTGCTGAAAGGCGAACTTGGTTATTATTGCAATATAAATACCACTGCAATATAAACTTAGGGGAACCAGCAGGAGCCGCTGGTGGCTCTTCCTGCCTCAAGGCTCTGTAATCCATTCAGCCACCAAAGTGGCTTCCCTAAAAGCTCGCTCCCCTTCTCAATAAACCCCAGGGGCTCCCTATCGCTTCCCGGATCAAATATAAAACCTTCGCTTTTCTTTCAAAGCTCTTCACAACGGGACCTTTCTCCGCCTTTCCAGTCTAGTTTTCTTACACATTCTCCCCTCCCTGTCCTTGGTGACTTCACAGGTGACTTGCCATCTCCTGACTCCGGACATTTTCCCGGGCTGTGCCCCATGCTTGGAACGCCCTCCCTCCTCATCTCTGCCTCCTGGCTTCCTTCAGGTCACAGTTAAAATCCCACTTTGTGCAAGAAGCCCTTCCTGCTTCTGCTGAAGCTTAGTGGCTTCCCTGAGATCAGAGCCAATTTATCCTGTCTCTATCTTGTTCGGACAGAGTTATCTTCATGTTGTCTCCCCCCTCAGATGTTAAGCTCCTCGAGGGCAGGGACTGTTTCTGCTTTTCTTTGCATCCCCAGCACCTGGCACAATACCCAGCACACAGAAGGCCCTCTGTAAATGTCTGCTTACTTGTTGTTGGGTATTTTCCCCATCCTGATGGCCCTTATGAAGCTACAGTTACAGTCCCTGGCCTTGCTTCCGCTCTAGTAGGACCAGGGAGAATTCCTCTCTGAGTTCTCTAATAAACATGGATGGAACCTAGACTTCAATGAGTTCGATTTCCTCCTTTTACAGATGAGGAAACTAAGGCAGTGAGAGCCACTAGACCATCCCACCTCTCAGTCATGTTAGCAATCCCCATCATGACCCCAGGAGAGCACCCCACAGCTCTGTCCTGAGTCCTCTTCTCTCTCCCCATTCTTGTGGCAATCTCATCAGCTTCCACCATCTCAGTGCAGATGACTCTGACCATCAATACCACGTCACCACCACCTCCGCCTGATAGGTGCCTCAAACCCAACATGTTCAAAATGAAGCAATGATCTTCCCCATTTACCTCATCTCTACTCAAAACTGCCCTAATTCTGCGGAGGGCACAAGCCCTTTTCAATCCCGGTACCAGAGTCAACCTTGACCCTTCCTTCTCCCACATCCCCTCTATCTGCCTGCCCAGTCTTGTTGTGGGGGTGGCAGCAACACTTTCTGTCTGTTTCCTTCTTTCGACTCATTCAGCTGTCTCCTTGGTTCACAACCTCATCAACATTTGTCTGGACTATTCTAACAGCCTCTCACTCTCTCTCTCTCTTTTTTTTTTTAGCTTTTTGGTGAGGCAATTGGAGTTAAATGACTTGCCCAGAGTCACACAGCTGGTAAGTGTCAAGTGTTTGCAGGCAGATTTGAACTCAGGACCTCCTGAGTTTTATCCACTATACCACCTAGCTGCCCCCTTTAATAGCCTCTTAATTGATCTTTTCTCCCTCCGATCCATTTCCCAGGCATTATATAATTGATGTTACCCCCAACTCTCAAATACCCTCAGTGGCTTCCTTCTACTTCTAGGATAATAAAATACAAATCTGTCAGCCTGGCATCTGAAACCTATAATCTAAATCCAATTTAACTTTCTTTCATACTACTCCCCTTCAGGAACTTTGTGTACAGGACAAACTGGTCAGTTACAACTCCACATTCACTCTCTCTGCATTTGCAAAGATAACATCTCTACCTATTATAATCTTTAGCTTTGTTAAAGGCTCAGCTTATAATCCACCTAAAATGTGAGGATCTCCTCGATTTCCACCCCTTCACCAGTGAGTGTGAATCCCTTTCTCAATATGCCTAGTGTTGTCTGTTTCTGCACTGAATCCCCCCAATGGAATATAAACTTCTTGAGGGCAAGAAATGCTTTGTTTATGTCTTTCTCTCTCCATACCTTGCACTGTGACTTGCACAAGGTAGTTGGTTAATAAATAAATACTTGTTGAAATGAATTATAAGAGGGCTTCCTAGGTGGTTATTTTTGAGGTGGAGCTGGTTACAGAAAGAGTAGCTAACAGCTGTTGTTCTGCCATTCTGGTCTCTTGCCAAGAGGACATTTCCTACGAGGAAGGAAACTGGGTCAGGGCACTTCGTAGGGGGTTGTGGGTAGATGCCTCAGACAGGGCCTCTTCTCTGAAGGCAGTCAAATCAATGTCTGGGTGGACATGTGTTGGAGCAGAATCAACCAATCAACCCATGAAACAGGCATGTGTTAAGCACCTACTCTGTGCCAGGTGTAACTCCTTAAAGGCCTCTTCTTTGAGTCACACCTACAGAGTGACAATGGCCAGCCACCCTCCACTTTGCTTCCCTGGCTCAGTGTCAATAGGCTCACACTTAACAGGAAGGCAATAGAGGGGTCAAGGCATGTTTTACTCACTGTTCAGCCACGCTTTGGTCGAGCGAATCCGTTTCAGGGGGTGTTTCGGGGAGGGAGCCAGATTCCTGTATCTGGCACAATTCCTCATCGGTGATGATATCAAACACAGCATCGTCGGGGGGTCGAAAGTCTGGAGGTGCCGCTGCATCGCCGCCGTAACCGCCGTAGGTGAGAATGAGAAGAAACACACGGACCATTAAAGACAGCATGAGAAGGCTGCCCTTCTCACCTCCACCTGGGCATACCTTGGAGGAAGCTAGCACTGGAAATGGTGCACGGAAAGCAGCAGGACTTGGCACGGGCACATATGTACACACACATACATACATATGGAGCGAGATATAAAGATGTTTAGAGAGAAACATTGATGCGAGGTGGCACCATAGTGCACACAGTGCTGACTCATCTCTCTGAGTTCAAGTCTGGCCTCAGAAACAGAAAACTCTGCCTTTTGTACCTCTGAGGGTCCATGGCCTAAAAGATCCTGGATGAAGACTCAGGCCTTCTCAGCACACGTCAAGAGGACCTCCACAAATGCAGAACAAACCCTCCTGTACTCACGTTTCCAGCAGAAATTCTTGGGTGAGTTCCAAGCACAAACAACAATCTGTTTACCAGTCAAAATGAGCAGTGACTGCACTTTTGCCCGTGTCCCTCGTGCCTCTGACTGTGTAAACTGGTTAGTAAGATAACAGTGAAGCTGATGTGCTGATGTCAACCCACCTGCAGGCCCTGGGCCTGGGAAACACCAGGACAGGTCTGAAAGAAACTAGGTGAGGAGAAACCAGGAGGCAGGGGAAGTGAGAAAGAAAAACAAGCCCCAGGACACTGGTCGGTAAGAATAATTCCTGTGTAAATAGCGCTTTGTGGTTTACAAAGCATGAGGCTCACCACAATCCTGTAGGGCAGGAGATATAACCCAAATCCTCATTTTATAGATGAGGAAGATAAGCAGAGAGAGATTAAATGACCCACACGTGGCCATGTGGTGAGGCAGAAGAGCTCTGCCCTCTGACCCCAGGCCTGTCCTGACCTTCCCACACCACCACTCAGCCTCTAATCTTCAGACTCAGCCTGCTCTGGGCCAACAGATAGGGCATCACTGTGGTTCCTCCCCATCAAAGTATGAAGGGTGAGGGGAATACTGGGGTCACTTTTTTTTTTAAAATTGCGGGTGATAAGGATATGGTCTCCAGATCAGGAGGCCGATTCCACTGCCAATCTTTGCTCCTTGCTTCTCTGACCTAGCCAATCTCTTGCTGAATAATGAATGGGAGCAAACCTCGAGAAACAAGGGAAAAAAGAAATGAGACCTCTCGACCAGCTTCATAAGGAACAATTACTTTTCCATTTGAGTTTGGGAGGAGCAAAAGAGAGGCCAAGGAAGGGAAAGAAAAGCATGCAAACCACTACATAAATACACAAACCACACCTCTCTCTACTTGGTATGCATTGAGTTATCATGGGATCAGAGTAACTGACCACACTGGCCTTCCTGAGGATCCAGCTAAATCAGGGCTTCTTAACCTTTCAGGGTCATAGACTCTTCTGATAGTGTCCGGTGAAGCCTCTAGGCCCCTTCTCAGAATCAAGTTCTTAAATGCATCAAACATATAGAGTTACAAAGGAAACCAACGATGTTGAAAAAGAGTTACCGACATGTTTTTCTTAGGAAAACACACTTGTCAACCCTAGGCTGAGAACCCCTGACTTCAAGGATGAGTGACCCCCTTTCTCAACGATAAAGATCACAAGCCCTTCACATCTCAGGGGACAGCTTTCATGAATCATGGCTGAAAAAGACTCATCACCCTCTGGCCAGCGGCGTGATGCCCAAGAGCTCCAGCCTGGTCTCCTGATGGCAGATACGCCATCTCGCTGGTATGCCAGAGCTGATGTTACTGGCCCAACTTTCCCTAACCCCAGGTAACCCTTGAGCCCCAGAGAAGCAGTGGAGGACTTTACCGGAGGACAGCCCAAGAGTGTCCGCCATTCCCTTCAGCTTTGCTAAAATCCTGATGCTCTTCCTCCAATCTTTCCAATTCCTACATTCACGCACGTGTGTCTTCAGCAGAAACTGGGAAGTTGTTTCAGGTAAGAAATAACTTCAGATGTATTTCCAGTATAAAAACTAAAAAAACCCCAAGCCGACAGAACACAAAGGGCTGCCCAATGCGACCCTGAAGACCAGTGGAAGAGGAGGGGGAAAGGCCTGACCTCTGACTGTGGCGGCCAGGTCGCCCGTGGACATGGATGGAGAGGAGAGGAGCTCGCCCTGGGAGGTGGCTGAGCCGGAGCTGTCTGGGGAGCCGGACCCTTCCGTGTACTTCCTGAAGCAGGCCCGGCAGCAGCGCTCCTTCTTGCCGCTGCGCTTGGCCGTGACGTAATTGTTGCAGCAGTAATAACAGAAAATGCGACCACATATCCTAAAAGCGAGAAGAGATTCAGAGAGTAAGGAAGGGACCTTGCTGTCGACAGCCCAGAGCGCTGCTTAGGGAGTGCATCCCCCTCCGTTGGCTGGCTCGCCACTCACTTCTCTAACCTTACGGAAGACTGGAGGGACATCGTGGTGACCTGATAGAGAAGACACTGGGCTAACAGTGAGGAGGGGACTCTGGGTCACAGAGCCAGAAGGGAGCTTGGAGGCCTAAGGCCAAGCTCCAGCCCAGGGAGTTAAACACACTTGCTGTGGCTGCAGCTAACTGACAGAGCCAGGACCAGAACCTGAGTTTCTGACTCGACGTTTCTATTACACCACACTGCCTATAAAATAGTCGTAGATGTGTGACCTTGGAGAAGTCTGCTTAACTCTTCAGGGGTAGCTAGGTGGTGCTATAATGCACAGAGCGCTGGGCCTGGAATCAGGAAGACCCGAGTTCAAATAAGGGCTCATGCATTTACTCTGCGATCTGGAGCAAGTCACTTAACCTCCGTCTGCCTCAGTGTTCTCATCTGTGAAATGGGGATAACAATAGCCCCTACCTCCCAGGGTTGTTGTGAGGATCAAATGAGACAGTAATTGCAAAGTGCTTAGCACAATGCCTGGCACACAGTAAGTGCTACGTAGATGTGACCTAGTATTATTCAGGACTTCAATTTCAATTTTTTTTCTTTCTTAAAAAAAAAAAATCTGAACACCAATATAGCTAACTATACTTGCTTAGTAACTACTGATGTTTAAATTAACTTTAACACATCAACGATCAAAACTAGTTTTGGGGGACCCCCTCCATAAATCATCTTCAGGACTCTTGGTCCATTCATTCTTACTTGATTTTCTGCTCACTGGGCTGAAGGTAGTGTGTATTCCAGTCTTCTTTTTCTGCTTCTTTTTCACTCTGCATTATTGTCTGATTTGTTTTGTATACTCCTCATACCTGTCTGTCTTTATTGCACTAAATAAACTGCATTTAATTAATAATTTAATGGCACTAATGCTATTACATCACATTGATATACTTGATGTTACGTTCAGAGCTGAAACACGTATTTTTACAGCACTTTTAGGCCGACAAAGTGCTCTTCTCACAGCAAACAATGTGAGTGGCAGTGCAAGGACCAAGAGTCTCATTTGACCCATGAGGAAGCTGAGGTTCACCGAGGCTGAGTGATTTGCTATGGGTCAAAGAGTCAGTGAGTGGCAGAGGCAGGATCAGAACCCAGGCCTCAGGCTAGGCGTCTGGTGCCCTTCCCATTCCAGTCCTACAGACCCCGCGGCTGCTGTACGGTATTCACTGACCTGCAGTGATGCCGCCGGGTCATCCAGCTAAACTCCCTCTTACAGTCCAAGCAGTGATTCACCTCTGTGTCTCCAAGCCACCTTTCTTCTGCACTCAGTTTTTGCTGGAATTCCAGGGCATCAGATTTTTGCCAAAGAGCATCCTTGTCCCTAGTGAGGAAGCAGTTTTGTTTTAAGAGAGAGAGAAAGAAAAAAAAAAAAGAAAAAACCAAAAAAAAAAGTTAGAGTTCCTCTTGCTTCATCCTGAACACTGATCCCAAATCTTCCGTTTTCTAATTTTTCTGTTTAAGAGAAGAACATCCCACTATTCCAAGCGTTCCTCTTTAATTCCCCACAGTAACTAACAAGGTGATGTAAACCAATTACGTACTAACAAGTTCTTGTGAAATGTGTTTGGGCGAGCAGAAAGGATCCTCAGAGCCTTCTCTCCTCCCTTTGGTCTGATGTCTGTGCTCTTTCTGCCCCAGGCAACAAGGCTGCAGCACGTCCTTGATTCTAAACACAGCGTTCCTCTTACCTGTGTCACCACGTATAAGGTCACAGAATCTCAGCGCTGAAAGGGCTCTCAAAGGCCAGCTTGTCAAAACCACACCTGAACAACTAACTGACTCAGGCTGGCCACTCCAATCCAATCCAATCCGATAAACATTTAGTAGGAGACTAGCGCGTGCCAGGCACCATACTAAGCATTGCAGACACAATTAATAAAGACGGTCCCTACCCCCAAGGAGTTTATGATCTAAAGGGAGAGACAACACACAGGAGGCAGGAAGAGGAAAGGAGAAGGGAAGGGAATGACCATTTGTACAGTGCCTCCTTTACAAACAATAATAGCTAACATTTATAGAGCTCCTACTGTGGGCCAGGCACTGTGAGACAACCAGGAAGTGTCTGAGGCTACATCCGAATTGAGACCTTCCTGACTCCCGGCCTGGTGCTCTCTCCACTATACCCCCAACCTGCCTACAACTGCTGTATATAACTATTTATTTTGTACATAACTGTGCAGGTACACGTTGTATTGTGCAGCAGACTGTAAGCTATGTGAAAGCAAGGATTACTTCATTGCTGTCTTTCTATCCCCAGTAGCTAGCACATGGAGTGGCAGAGGACAGGCTGAAACTAATGATTGCCAGCTTGACTGAAAGTACTTTCAAAATGTACAATAAATTGCTAGACAAATTATGTCACATATGTTATATGTGTGCATATGCATAAGTGTATGGGTGTGTGTATGTGTGTATAATTTTTTTTTCAAAAAAGGTAACAACAGAATTTTCCTTCTTAAAGTGTAAGAAGACTTATGATAAAGAAGTCATACTAAAGAAATACTTGTTTAGAAGTTCATTAAGTCAGACCATCTGTTCATTACCAAGCATTTACAAAGGGTTTTCTACTTGCCAGGCCCTGTGCCAAGCACTGGGGACACAGAGAAAGGCAAAAGACAGCCCCTGCCCTCAAGGATCTCACAGTCTGATGGGGGAGACAATGGGCTAAGTGCTACATGCAAACAAGACACAGATCGTGAAAATAAGAGGCAATCGCAGAGGGAAAGCACTGTGGCTGGGCAGGGGGACCACAAAGCCCTCCTGCAAAGGTGGGATTCAAGGGGAGTTTTGCAGCAAGTCAGGGAAGTAAAGACACAGCATTCTGAGCACGGGGGACGGCCCTGCAGAGATGGGAAGGACCAAATTTCTCTGCTTAACAGGAACAAAGGACGTTCCAAGAACTACAAGACGGCCGACTAAGAAGCTCTCATCCTACCAGAGGGAATGTGTTTCTGCAATGAAGAGGCAGCTGGCCCTGCTGTCTTCACCTCTGATCAATATTCTGATAGACACGAGCAGGTGATAACCAAAACCTACAACACAAAGTAGAGGGACCTCGGACTTGGCAGTCAGAAATCACATCCCAAAGGCGGCTAGGTGGTGCAGTGGATAGAGCACCGGCCCTGGAGTCAGGAGGACCTGAGTTCAAAGCCGGCCTCAGACACATAACACTAACTAACTGTGCGACCCTGGGCAAGTCACTTAAGCCCAACTGCCTTAGCAAATAAACTAACAGCAGCAAGAAAAAATCACATCCCAGGGGAAAGAACAATTTCAACTCTTGGATATATTTTTCTTAATGAGAGGTTTTGCATATTGAGTCAAAAGCAATGCACACAGATATCTGCTAAATCAAATTCCTTTCTTTCATACAGCAAATTTGTTAAAACACACAGCAGAGTCTTAGGTCTGAAGTAAAAAAAAAGATCAACAGCCAATTACGGAGTCAATCACCACATATACAAACCGCTCATAATCTTGGAAGACGATATCGATAAAGTCGCCTTCCCACCTGCACATGATGCCTGGTACACTCTCTTCTGACTATGTGGACAGCTTGCCCGTTGTTTGCTGAGATTAACTTTTTCCTACAGAGTCCAATGTTTCCTTGGTTTGGAAATGCTTAGGCTGTTGGAGGAGTAACCTTAGAAACAGTACTCAGAATTCATACTTCCCTGATGGGGGGCTCATTCAACTATGTCCAAGGAAAAGATCTAACTTAGCAGTCATCTTCGGACCATCAGAGACACCAAGACCAGGGTAAAACTCTGGACTTCTGACACAGAAGCCTGTGCCAGGCCTTCTGACTTTCTTCCGGTCATTTTAAGTTTTCCTTTTCTTACTTACAGCTGCCTGCTCTCATCTCCCCTGAAGATTCTATGAATGGGACTGGGACCTGAGTGGGCCCATGACCTCGAGCAAGGGTGTCAAACTCAGAAATGTGGCCACTAAACCTACATAGGGATCCCTGAGGGCCACATACTGCCTTAGAAAACCACACATTAAAGTTATCTATGTTCTATAATAGTTTTACTTATTTTGTTAAATATTTCTCAATTTCATTTTCATCTGGTTCTACTGCACTAGGGAGTATTGCCTGGCAGGCCATGTGTGTTTGAAACCTCTGGCCTGCAGAATCCATCAAATGATCTGGAAGAGATTTTTACCTTTGTCCATACTGCAGCCAGTCGATGTCTGTAGCACTGACTTCATTTTTTGGGTAATTATCGCATCTAAAGCCTTTCTCACCTCTTATCTTTCTTGACCTCTCTACATCATCTGACACTGTTTACTCCTCTTCAGTTTATGTGACTCTGCTCTCTCTTTCAGTTTTCTTCCTACCAAACTGCTCCTCCTCGGTGTCCCTCGCTGGATCTTCACTCTCTCTGTGGATGTCCCCCAAGGCTCTATCCTAGGCCTTCTCCTCTCTCCCTACATCAGCTCCCAATTATCATCTCTATACTGATACACCCCAAATCTTTCTATCCTTCCCTCATCTTTCTCCAAGCTCCAGTCCCAAATCACAAACAACCTAGTAAACATTCCAAAATTTATGTCCTGTCATCCCAAACGGAACTCACTATCTTCCCCTACCCCTCCAGCCAGTTACTGTTCTGAACTTCCATATTACTGCCAAGGGCGCAACCATCCTGCTAGTTATCCAGACTCACAACTTCGAGGTCACACTTGACTCCTCCCTCTTTCCCATCCATCCCACTTACCCAGTGGCCACATCTTACTGTTTCTGCCACCCCAGCATTTTTCACTCTCATTTTTTCCCTCCAATCACAAAGCTACTAGTTGCGGTCCTCATCACCTCTCACCTGGCCTACGGCAATATCCTTAATTCAAGGGGCAGCTAGGTGGTGCAGTGGATAGAGCACTGGCCCTGGAGTCAGGAGGATCTGAATTCAAATCTGGCCTCAGACACTTGACATTTCCTAGTTGTGTGACCCTGGGCAAGTCACTTAACCCCAACTGCCTTGCCAAAAAAAAACCCATTCTTACTTGATCTCCCCGTGTCCATTTTCTACATGGATCTCCAGCTCATCCTCCGCCCAGCTGCCAAAGTGATTTCCCTTCAATGCAGGTCTGACCATGTCATTCCCCGGATCCACACTAACCTGATCGGCTGTCTAGCACCACGGGGATCAAAGAGAAGGTCTCCTCCCAGGCACTGAGAGCTCTTCACAGCCTGGCCCAGCTTCCTCTGTGGCCTTACGACACGTCACAACCCTCCCCTCACTCTACGTGTGGCCAGACTGGTCTTCTTGCTGCCGTTCCACATTGGAGGCACCCTACCTTCTGTTTTAGTGCACAGGCTTTGCCTGGAGCGCACCATCCCCTCCCCTCCCCTCCCCCCACTTCTCATTTCCTTGAGGACTGTGCTCAAACACCACCTTCTACAAGGGCCTTTTCTGACTCCCTACCACCCTCAGACGCTAGAGTAATCTCCCTAAAAAGGGCGCAAAAAACCTGCCTTGTATCTATCGTGTATATAAGCACCCACAGAAGTACATGCTTGCCTCCCCTGACAGAATGCAAGCTTCTTGAGGGCAGGCACCATTTCACATTTGCCTTTGTACCTCTGGGTGTCTCGCACAATGCCTGGCACCTAGCAGAGGCTGAATAAATGCTTGTTGAGTTACTGACTAGATCTTGCAAGAAGAGAGAAACTACAGGAAAAGAAAAGTGGCAAGACAGAAAATCTTCCTTAAGTTAGTAAAATGGTTTTCATTCTTAAGACAATTATCAAAAAAAATTATATTTTAACTTTCTCTAATTGAGAAGGTTTTTTTTTAATTACTATCATGATATATTTTTTAAAAACACAATCCTAGGAAGATTGAACTTACCCATAAGTGCTATTCATGGGGGTGAGTTCCCATATTACTCTGCACAGGGATGCATGAAAGATATGATTAATTTTACTTGACTCAGTATGCTAAGTTATTTGATTTAGCATGACTACATAAATCATTCTTAGCAACAACTCTATAAAAGGTAGTTGAAATTTGAGGCATACATTCCATTGATGAAATAAGGTTGAGATCCACATTTATTTTATTTAATTAAAAGAAGAATTCTATTTAAAGCTTCTAGTAACTCCTTGCAAACCATGACACCTACTTGAGAAGTTCTATTAGCCGTTCTTCAAGGTATTTCTTGGTTTTGTTCAGATCATCCAAATTGGCCAGCATCTGCTGTTCATTTGTCTCTCGATCTGCCATCTCCCGGTTGAGCTTGTCCCAGTGTTCCTGGACCTTTGCATCTGATTTTTCGAGTTCCTTTTGCATCCTAAAAGAGGAATTTAAAGATTCTTTGAAATCAGTTCTCACTCCTACAGCCTCACACTAACCGCTTCTAGCACATTATACAAGGTCTGGGGAAGCCAGGGCTCCCTGCAACCACTGTGGTGGCCCTTCCCTTCCAATGAGAATGTTTGACTTTTTTATGAATGCGGTGATGCTCTCAGTGCTGTCTCGGCTAGTGGTTTTATGCCTTCGTTCACTGGCCTTTTGTAGCCTCACATCTTGGCCAGTTCCTTTCTGGAATTATTACGTGTAAAACTATCAGCTGCAGAGGAAATTCTGGGAGACCAAGTCTTGCTCGATACTATGGGATTAAGGTCCAGCTCTGCTAGAATCTCCTTCAGAACAGCATGCTGTGATAGGCCTGTACTATGCCATTTTCCTTACTCTATAATTTAACTCTCTATAACTACCTGAACTCCATCTTTCTCCAAGGTAAAGAGTTCTCCAAACGGGTCCATAAAAGCACACTGCTCTACAAGGCATTCCCAACAAACCTCAGTCTTATTTCACGCTGCCTCCCTCCTTGTATTTATATATCCAGCCAGACTGCACTGGCTAACCCCATCCCTGCCTTTGCTCACGCCATTCCCTAATTCCTCGAATATCTCCTTCTCTCCTAACATCACCTGTTCAATACTTATTCCTCTTGGAAAGCCCAACTCAAATGCCCCTTCATCTACGACACCTTCTTGAGCAAACCTCTAGTCAGCAATGATGGCCCCTTTCCAATGATCTAAAGTGTTTCACCCCTCTCTTATGTACTTACCACGTATTGTTTTGCATTAACACAGTTATTTGTGTACATGTCACATCTCTCCCTCACACATACACCCCAGTCCATCAGAGCAGGAATTATGTGTATCTAAAATTTGTGTCTTCCCCAGCACCTAACTGCTATGTATGCAGTTGTAGCTTCATAAGCGTTCACTGAATAACTTAATTTTTATCAGCCAAAGAGAAAGCAAGTCCTTAACGGGGTCTATATATCATTGCAGATTTATAATATTTAAAAACTGAGCAGAGGAAAATGTTTAAGCTTTGGTCACTATATACCCCAAAATGTAGACTTCCAGGGTCTCCTGTGGTGATAGGCCCAGGTAAAGGAGGTTTGGAACAGGGTTAGAGGAGAATTAAGACATTCGCATTTTCTCAGGAAAACATGATTTCCTTTTTGTGTCAAATTGAGTTGAAATACGAAAATACACATTGTTAAGCCTTTTTTAATTAGATATTTTATACGGCCCTAAAGTTTAAAGCTTGGTACAGTCTTTGAACTTACTGGGTACAAGTCAGGAACTGTGAGTTCTATCAAAGCACAAAAGATGCTGGGACCAAGGGAAGGCCTTGGGCTCTCCCCCTTCCCCCCCCATGTAAAATTTAAAGGGCACACATTTCAGGGCTAAAGCACACTCAATGAAAGGAATGAAGAGCACGATCTGCATGACTGCTAGAGCCCTTGGAGGCTAGCGTCCAAAGTCAAAGTTGGCTTTCCTCCAGGCTGATGGCTAACCTTTGACAACACCACACTTAACACTGTGGTGTGACATTTCACACAGGAAATAACAAAGGGGGCAGAGAGATACACGGCTTCAGTGTGAAAATGTAAACATCCCCCCAAGCTCTTATTCCCTTCTAACTGGGGCTAAGCACCCAGGTCACTCCACTGAGCATCCTGAAGCATCCTCTTTCCCAGATAAGAAGACTCCCTTAGAACAAACCACAATGGACTGTAACACTCCTTAGCCTGATGGGATGGTAAGTTTTCAGTAGTTACTGCAGCAGGCAAGCTGGGCCTGGCGCGTTGTGGAAAGGCACTGGTAACAAATGTGAAACCCAGCGCTTCCTGACTTCCTGGTTCTTATACCCAAAAAGTTTCCCCTAGTGAAGACCAGAAGTCCTTTGTTTTCTGTTCTTTTCTTCACCTGCACCCTCTCTTCTCTGACAGCACTACAGAGCCAAGGGAGAGGGAGAGCTATAGAAACAACCTTTCCAAGCTGGCATTCAAGGCTGCGACTTCCTCTTCCTTCGCCATGACTGCAGCTTGGTACTTGGCCAGCTGTTCTGTTGAGCGCTCCAATTCCTTTCCCAACCCTGCTTCCATGGCCTAACAAACGAGATCAAGAAACAACCAACAGAATCATCCAGAGGAGAAAGCACAATTTTCATAGAGAACACAAATGAACCGCCTGCTGTGTCCCAGTTAAAAAGGAGATGAAAGAAACCAGAATGGGAGGTGTGATGATGACAGAGAGATGAGAAAGAGGTGGACAAGAGGGGCTGACGCAAGGGTGAAAGAGAACAGGCTGGAAAACACAGGCCATGGACAGCCAGCATCCAGCCACATCCACTTTTCGACATACAGATGACTTGAAAGACAAAGCAATGAGTTTCAAACTGATAAATGAAAATTTCACAGTGAGACTCAATAACCAGACTTGCAAAAACCAAACTAAACAACTTCTTCATCACAAACACAGTGAGGATTTGTGAGAAGGGGTGATGCCACAAGGAAAGTAGACAAATAGCTCCAGGCTATGTTTGCCTGATCTGGTGCATGGCCACGAAGGCCAGCCACTTCACCACTCCCAGACCCCACTGGTCCCAGGGTCACTTTTCATGAGGTTCCTTCTGTGCTCTCTGGGAGAGAAGCCCAGGCCTACCTTCAGCTTTGCAGTCTCCTCTTCAGCTGCCCTTAGCTGCCCGTCTTTTTCTTCCAGTTGACCCTTTAGATTCTTACATTCTTCACTCACTGCCTGGTATGGGCGAGATAGGGAATATTGAAGGGCAGACACAGCTGAAAGGTCCTAGCCTCTGGTACAACAGATCCTTTCCTTTGTCCAAGTTTGCTGCTTCTAGGGAGTGGCCACCTCAGAAAACCACCTCCTGTGTCACCCAAGGCCATCAGGCAATGGAATCCTATAGGCATGGTGATCACACTAGCCTTGACCTTTAACTATAATGCTTAGTGCTGCAGATTTTGGCCCTGGATTCCAAGGACAAGGTTCTATTTTCTTTAACAAGTCAAAAATGTAAAAGAAATGTAAGGTGTGCTTATCACCCTAAGTTAGGACACATATAATGGAGAGGCAGGTGGGCAGCTGCCAAACTGGAGTAGGGCTAGCATCTGACCCACTGATATCTCATAAACACCAATATAAACAAATTTGAGTTAGCAAACCTCCTATTTGTCTTGTCACATACCTAATTTTTAACTCCAGGATTTTAATTCTGTAGACAGTTAGGTATACAGCAGCTGCAGACCTCTCCAATCCTAAAGTTTTTATTAAAACGAGTCAAGACATTTTCCAGAAACCATAACCATAACCTGGTGGAAAAGAACATCTAGTTCTAGGGGCCTTCAGGTGAATCAATCAAGACAGACACCAAGGGCTATCTTTAGATACCTGGACATGCCATCTTAATGGCACAGTGGATAGAGTGCTGGGCCTGGAGTCCGGAAGATCCGAGTTCAAATTTGGCCTCAGACACTTACTAGTTGTGTGATCCTGCTAGAGTCACTTAACCCAATTTTGTGTTTAGACTTTGTGGAGAACAAGATTTGGGTAGAGATGGATTTCCCTAGTAACATGAAATATTTGGTTGTGATTAGACATTTGAGAAGGACAGACGGGCTTCATCTGGGGTGTCAGATGCCTCTTAAACCCAAAGAGGCAAAAGGGACACACGAGCCCATGGGTTTACCAGAAGCAACAGCAGCTCCCGGCCACAAGTCACAGGAACCTTAATTCTGGGATGATATCTGCTCATTACCTTGAGCTTGGCTTGGCAGTTCATGATCTCTGTGCTCATCTGGAATTTCACTGTGGAGAGCTCTTCTTGACCAGCCTCCCGCAAACTCTGGGCTTGCTTCTCGGCCAGGCTCAGCTGGCTTTGCAGGCTGGGCAGAGCGTGGGCACTCTCCTGGGCCACCTTCAGTTTCTCCTGCAGGCTCTCCCTTTCCTTCCTGAGCCCTTCCAACTCCCGCTGGAGGCCCTCACGTTCCCTGGAAGCCCTCTCTTCAGCCTCCCCGAGCTTCTGAGAGGCCTGGGCAAGCTTCTCTTCGACCCGCGCCTTCTCTGCCGTCAGGGCACAGACCTGAATGCCGAGTTCGGCCATGTCTGTGTTGGCCCGGTGGAGCTGCTCCTGGACCTCGGCGTGTTCCAGCTGGGCCAGCTCGGCATCCTGTCTGGCCCGGGACAACTCTTCGCGGAGCTGACTCTCCTGCTCAGCCCTCTGTCGGGCTTCCCCAGCCTTCTCCTCCTTCAGCACATGTTCCCTCTCAGTGCACTGGAGCAGCTCTTGAACGTGAGTCCTGTTGAGGCCCTCATTCTGCTCCTTCAGCTGCTGGACCAGGCTTCTGTGCTCCTCCAGGAGGGTCTCCACCACCTCCAGCCGGCTCTGGGCCTTCTCCTGGCCCTCCACGGCCCTCTGCAGCTTGGTTCGGAGCTCAACCACCTCTGCCTGCAACCTCCTGGCCTCATCCTGGTGGATCTCCAGCTGCTTCTGTGTCAGCACCAGATGGGAGGCCAGCTCTTGGGTGCCTTTCTCCCGGTCCACACTTTGCTCCAGCTGGGCTTTTTTCTCCATCATTCCCTTTTCTAGGCTGAGGCCCTCAATCAGCTGGGTCTGATGCTGGCACGTGCTCCTCAGGCCCTTCATCTCCTCCTCGTGGGCCTCGACTTGCCTCTGATACCTCTCCACCTCTGCCCGCAGCTGCTGGCACTCGGCATCCTTGCTCTGGATGGCCGCCTCCTTCTCAGCCACCTGGGCCTTCATGGTCTCCTTGGCCTTCTTCACAGCGAGGAGGCTCTTCTCCATTTGGTCACCAATATGGCGGATGCTGGCCTGCTCTGCTTCCAGGGAAGCCAGGGAGCCCTTGATGGCTGCCTCGCGCTGCCTCAGGTCTTCGTAATCCACCTGCAGGGCCTTGAGCTTGTCCTCGAGGATCTGGTTTCTGTGGAGGGCATTCTGAAGCTCCTCATCCCGCTCCCTGTTTCCTGCCTGGAGCTCCTTCTCCTTCTCACTGATGGACGCCTGGGCCTCGCTGCTCTGTCCCTGGGGCAGGGCCGCTCCCAATTCCAAGGAGGCTTTGGCCTCCTGGGGCCCCTTCTGCTGCTCTCCCGGTTTCTGCTGGGCCTGAAGCAGGAGGGAGTCCCCCGAGCTCAGCTCCTTGCTCTTCTCCCCGGCAGCACCAAGCTCCTGGCTCTGCTGCCCAGTGACATATTCCAGCTCCCCCACCTTCTGGTGGAGACGGTCCCGGTCGCCAAGCAGCTGCTTCCGCTGCTCCTCCAGATCGCTCACGCGCTGGTTTGCCTGGGACAACTGGACTTCCAGGAGCTGGAGCTGCTTGGTGAGGGATTTGGTCTCGTCCCCATGAAGCCTCTCTTCCTTTTTTAACTCTTCCAATTCCTTTTCAAGAGACCTTGAGCGTGCCAGGGATTCTCTGAGCTGGAGCTGGAGGTCAGTCACCTCCTTCCCTTTCGATGACAGTTCTTCCCGTAAAGGCTCCATCTCCTTGACTAAGCCCTCCAGGTCACTGAGCAGCTTCCTGTTTTCTTCTCGCGAGCTAGTGGCCAAAATGCTGAACTTGGACTCAAGCTCTCCATGGGCCTCCTCTTTCTGTTTTAACTCCTTGGTCAGCCTCTCCAGCTCCACCACTTGCTTTTCCACTAGATCCTGGAGGTCCTGGGAGAAGCTGACTTGATCGGATGCCTGCCGGCCCCTCATGTCCATCACTGTGTCTCCTTCTGCCACCGTGTCCAGGTTCCTCTGCTCAGCTGTGGCCAGCTTGGCCTGGAGGTCAGCAATGCACTGGTCTTTCATGGTGATGGCGGCCCAGGCCGTCTCCACCTGCTGCACCAGGGGCTGTAATTTTGACTCCAGATGTTGCAGGGTTGAATGGTATTCCCTTTTATTTTCAGCTGTGCCCAGCTCCAACATCTTCAGACACTTCTGTAGCTCCTGCAGGGTGCTCTGAGTTGACTGGGAGATGAGACACTCCTTCTGGAGCTCGGCCACCCTTTCGATCAGCCGGGCGTTCTCCTCTGTCAGGCCTCTTCCCGTCTCCTGCTCTGCTGGGAGGCTCACGGCCTTCCTCAGCTCCTGGTTCTCCCTCTCCAACTGCTGCAGGCGATCCTGAAGCTCCTTTTCTCTTATCTCTAAATGGTCTAGCTCTACACGCATTTCATCAAACCCTTCCAGGGCCTCTGCGTTCATGGAGCTGTTCACATCAAAGCTGGAAGCCAAGTCTTGAGTCTGGAGAAACAAAAGCCGAATATATATGCAAACATTAGTACGTCTTCAGGGAGGACCAAGCAGCTAACTGCGGAAGTGAAAAGCAGGGGGCATTATATGGTGAAAGATGACCACCGGAGACAGCAAGATGGCACAGTGGATAGAACCCTGGCCCTGGAGTCAGGAAGACTTGAGTTCAAACTGACCTCAGATACTTACTAGCTGTGTGACCCTGGACAAGTCACTTACCTTTCCTCAATCTTAGTTTCCTCAGCTGTAAAATCAGTATAATAACAGCACCTACCTCACAGCATCATTGTAAGGATCAAAGGAGTTTAAATATGTAATGTGCTTTGCAAATGTTAAGGCACTAAAGTAACAAATTCTACCTATTACTAACATTACTACCTCATTCGAAAAATTTATTCTTTACTAAAATAATTCTCCTACCAGCCCTGTCTACATTTGAAGCTGGGGAAACAGAAGCACAGATCACAGACATGAAGCAATATCCTCAGAAACATCCAGTGACTCAGAACCAGAGACTCTGACGCCTGTTACCTCTGTGTGGCTCACCTGTCCCCTACTGAATCCCCGAGGGTTTAGTTTCTGCTTCCTCCCTAAGCCCTGACATAAGAGACTGTGCCCAGCACAACACAGGGAGCAAACTCATTAAAGAAACTTCCCCTTTAGGCTCCTAAACTGCATGCGATCCTCTTTCATAAACAAAGGAACTTTACAGAATTGTGTTCCCCTCTAACATCTTACTAATAACTCCTGAAAAGATTTTAAAAACTGTTCCTCCTTTCTTGGCAAAGATACTGGAGTGGTCTGCCATTTCCTTCTCTGGATCATTTTACAGATAAGGAAACTGAGGCAAACAGGGTGAAATGACTTGCCCAGGGTCACACAGCTAGGAATCGTCTGAGGTCAGATCTGAACTCAGGTCCTCCTGACTCCAGGGCCAGTGCTCTCTCCCACTGCATTTTATGCTTAATAGTGATCTTTCACCATTAGCCAATTTCAGTATAATTTCCCATACTCTCATATGTTACTGTACTTAAGTTGTGTCTTCTGTCGTTATAACACATGTAGATTTCTAGACACTCAAAGAAGTAGCAGAGACAAATACGCTTCATTTTGTTTGTTTTGATTATAAAATGGGTCTCTGCACTGTGCTTCAAAAACCTTTGAAGAAAGATTCAGAAGCTCCTACAATGGAAGCTCTTCAGCTCCTTAGTGCCTCTCGGGCCTCAGATCATGATTCCTTTCTAAGATCATCAAGTCAAGCTAATAAGCACTTATTAAGTGCCTACTGTATACTGGGCACTGTGCCACGCGGAAGAGCCCATCTGCATGCCTCCAATTAAATGAATAGGGAAAGGGCAGGCTCCTGTGCAATTACCTGCAGATAGCTGCTCACCAGACTGCTCATACTTGAACTCCGACTTGGGGGTTTCCACAAGTACGCTGAAGGTCCAAGGGAGGCCAGAGTCCTCCTGCAAAGCACAAGAAAGACACCGTTACCTAAACAGGAAGCCCCAAAGATCTTTCCCTCAAGCGTCTTACTGAGCTTCATCTCTACATGGCCATCTCTCTGCTTCATGGATCCCCATGGATGAATTATACTTATCAAGGCACACGTGATATTCACAAAGCAGGATGGAGGCCCCCGGGGGGCAGGGGCCGTTTGATTTTTGTCTCTGTATTCCTGGCATATAGCTCAGTGGCTTGAACACAGCCTCTCATCTGGTCAAAGTGTGACAAACCAAACTGAACTGAATGTTACCAAGGCAGATGCTGAATGTAATCAGGCAAAAAAACGCTTCCTGCCTCAAAGAGCATTCCAGTTAGCCCGCAGCCAAAAGTCACGGGGAAAGGGGGCGAAGACATTTCACAAAGTGCGCTGTCCTTGTTTTGGGATGGTTCTGCTATCACTAAAACAATCAATTTCCATTTCAGGAAAAACCTACGTGATAAATTCTGCACACAGTTTTCAGAGCTCCCTCGCTTTTCTGGGTTTCCTTCTAGGTTTTTTTTGTTCTCTGCTGCGCACTTTAAAATCTTTTTCCCTCCCACCACTGCCCTAGAGATGGATACAATTAAACACGAATATACAAACATATACATACGATCTATAAACACACACATACATATACACATAGACATAAGTGCAAGGCCATACTATGCACATTCTATTTGTCAGTTTTCTCTGGAGATGGACAGCATCTTCCTTCATAGGTCTGTCCTCCTACATTTTCCTAAACCAACCAACTCATCATTTCTCATATCACAATAGCATTCCGTCACAATCATATACACACAGCTTGTTTAGCCACCCCCCAATTGAAGGGCATCTATCATTTGAGCCAATCTGACAGGTGTGAGGCATTGCCTCAGAGTTGTTTTAATTGGCATTTCTCTCATCAAAAATGATGTAGAGCATTTTTTCATATGATTATATAGTGTTTTGGTTTCTTCACTGAAAAACTGCCTGTTCATATCCCTTGACCATTTATCAACTGTGGTATGACCTATATTCTTATAAATTTGACAGTTCTTTACATAATTGAGAAATGAGACCTAAACAATATTGAACAATAATGGTGACATAGTGTAGTTTCCCTATTATTCTCTTTTAATTAAATCTATTTTAGCTTTAGCTTTGTCCAGGATCATGATTACTACTCTTGCTTTTTTTATCTACTCCATATCTCTCATTTTTATTGTTTCCTGAAAGTGACATATGGTTGAATTCAAATGTTTAATCCATTCTGCTATCCATTTCTGTTTTATGGGTGAATTCATCCCATACACATTCAAAGTTATAATTACTTGCTGTATATTTCCCTCCATCCTATTTTTCCTCACTATCCTTCTTACCCCATTTGCCCCACCCCTCCTCACTCCTTTAATTTACTTCTACTGGCTACCTTGCCCTCCTATTCCTGTTCCTTAATCTACCGACCCCTCTGAGAGTCCCTCCCTTATCCTCTCCCCCCATCCTCCACCTTAATTTATTTATCTAAAAGTTTCCCCTTTATTGCCTCCTCCTCCTATTTCTTACTCTACGCACCCTTCTAAAATTCCCTCCCTTATCCTATCCCCTCACCCTCTTATTTCTTTCTAAATTTAGAAGACTTTTGTACCTTTCTAGATATATATGTTGTCTCCTCTTTAACCCATTCCCAATGAAAGTAAGGTTCCAGCACTACCCACCCTCCCCTGCTAGCTTCTTCTGTATCAATTTTTCCTTTCATGCCTCCTTTGTATGAGATAATTACCTCTTTTATCTCTCCCTATATGGCTTTATTTTTTAGAATCACTCCATCATACACAGCTCAGCCCAAGCCTTTCTTTCAGACTACCCAAACAATGACAGTCATAAAAGTATTAATAATATTTTCACATATAAGAAATAAACAGTTTGACCTTACTGAGTCCCCTATAATTGGTCTTTAATGTTTACCTTATATTTCTCCTGGATCTTCTATGTCAAATTTTCCATTAAGTTCTGCTCTTTTCGTCACAAATATGTGAAAATCTTTCAATTTGTTAAATGTTCATTTTTTTTCCATTCAGGATTATACCTAACTGTGTTGGGTAAGTTATCCTTGGTCATAACCCCAGCTCTTCTGCTCTACAAAATATATATTCCAAGACCTACGGTCCTTCCACATAGTAGCTGCTAGGTCTTAGGTAATGCTGATTACAGCTCCACAATATTTAATTCTTTTTTCTTGTTGCTCCCAATATTTTCTCCTTAATCTGGGAGCTTTGAAACTTGCTTATGACATTACTTTAATTTTCCCCCTGGGATCTCTTTCACGTGATGGGTGGATTTTTTTTATTTCTGCTTTACCTTATTGTTCTAGAACTTTAGGGTAATTTTCCATAATAATTTCTTGTAATACTGTATCAAGATGTCCAACTATTCCTATATTGTCTCTCCTCAATCTATTCTCCAGATCAGTTATCTTTTTGACAAGATGTTTCACTTTCTCTTCTATTTTTCATTCTTTTGATTTTGTTTTATTATTTCTTGGTGTCTTATAATGTCATTAGCTTTCCCTTGCCCAATTCTAGTTTTCAAGGAACTATTTTCTTTCTTAAGTTTTTGATTCTCTTTTTCCAGTGGGTTGACTTTCTTTTCATAATTTTCTTGATTTTCTTGGACTGCTCTTTTTTTTTCTTTCTAATTTTTCCTCAATCTCTCTTAACTGGCTTTTAAAGCCCTTTTTGAGTTCTTTCAAGAACTCTTTTTGGGCTTGGGACCATTTAACATTTCTCACTGAAAAAGGAGTGGCTTCTTTGGCTCCACTATCTTCCTCTGAATATGAACCCAGATCTTCCCTATCCCCATAGTAGTTATCTATGGTTGGGTTCTTTATCCTTGGCTTACTCATTTTTATTTCTAGCAGCTTATTATTATTATCAAATTCTAGTCCCAAGGTGTGGGGAATGATGCCCCGGGCTTTTCTGTTATTTTCTAAGCTCTGTCCCGGGCCCAACCTTGGGCTCTCCTCTCTACCCCTAAGCCACAGCTAGGGCCCCCAGCCACGCTGTCCCATAAATGCTCTTGCTCCCTGCAGTCCCTCTGGTGGCTGCAAACTTCAACGGTCCTCTATGCCTGGGAACCAAAACCAGGGACTCTGCTCTCCTGAAAGTGTCCGCAGCCAGCAGGGTCCCTGTCCTTCTACTACAACACTCACCAGGCACGTGCTAGCTCCTTCTCCTCCACGACCCAGCCTTGGGCCACATCTGGTCGGCACAACTGTGCTTGGCCTCCCTTGGCAGGGGAAGGGCCTTAAACATTCTCCTACTCAGCTGCTGGACCCCCACACTGTCCTGAGGCTGAGGGGGCCTCCCAACCCAGCTGCCCCCAGGGCCTGCTGCTCGTTCATTCTGCAGAATCCACCTGGAGGTGTTTGCACTGCATTCAGGATTACCACATGACAAAACCTCTCTGCCTTCTGGTATATGACTGTGATGGAATATGACTACAACATAAGAAATGATGAGCTGGCTGATTTTAGAGAAACAAGGAAAGACTTGGACCTATGAAGGACGATGCTATCCACCTCCAGAGAAGGAATGGTCAAACAGAAATATGTTTAGTATGGTCTTACATATATGTATATATGTGTGTATATGTGTACATAGATATATGTGTATATGTATATATATATTTATGTTTAATTGTAGCCTTCTCTAGGGTGGAGTGGGGAGAGAAGGAGAAAAAAAATAAAAAGTATGTAGCATAGAACAAAAGAAAACTTAAAAGGAAGCACAGAAAAGCTGGGCAACTTTGAAAACAATGTATAATAATTATTACATAGTTTTTTAAAAAAAGTTAATTTAACAGTTTGAAATGGAATTGTTTTATTTCTAATGCTCTATGTTCTGTTGTGTACATGGAAATGTTTTTTTTTTCTTTTTTGTTTTGTATTCGAGTTTAAAATGAATAAAAAATTAAAAAAAGGAAAAAAAATCATTTCTGCCAATGTGCCCATTAGATTTCAAGGGAGTCATATGTCTTTCCGAAACGAGTTTACTGCCTGTTCCAGGGTAGAAATTTGTCCCGCTACATTAGTGTTGAAGGACCAGGAGGAAATAACGTCCTCATGAGATTTGGTTGAGGAGGGGTCAGGTGGATGAGAAGGTCACAAATGCTATCTCACCAGCATCACCTAAGGAACTGAGAATGATTACCACTGCCCAGTCTACCGTCCACATTCATCTTATGCAGTACTTCTTACCCAGCAGGAATCTTGCCAATTAACACATTTCTGCTCTACAAGCATCTTCCTTCTTATTATATAAAGCCCTTCAGCCACATTATTTTAAAGGTATTTACAGTCCCTTATGGAAAAGAACTTTTGCAACCACTTTTTTTTCCAACAGGTCTTCATAATGACCCTATAAACGCGGCGAGAATGCTTATTTATGCAAATAAGTCAAAGTCCCATGAGCCCCAGTGAAACAAGACAACATAAATCAAAGCCGCTCATGGGACAGACACATCTTCCTCCGTATATGCTGAGCAGTTAACGAAGCTTGTATAAGACCAGGCTTTTCGTCTGCTTCACTTGATCAACGTTCTCTATAACATTAGTAAAATCAGCAGAGGGGATAACTGGGAAGTGTCATATCATGTACGTAGTACGAGCGCTGCCCTGGAGAGGTTGTCGCTAATCTTCTGAAGCCATGAAGCGACAAAAACAAACAATTCTCCAAAGTACCTTGCAAACGTTGGCCACCCAGCATCCAGATCGTGACCTCTGGACGCCAGATCAAACTGGACCTCCGTGAGCTCGTACAGCTGGCCAACAATGTCGGAGCTCATTTTAGGCTTCAGGAATGGGCTTCTCGCATAGTACCAGTCACTGAGGGGAAGATGAAAGAGCACAGAACAACACACAGAATCGACAAACTCATTAAGTCCATTTTCCCAGTGCATCCCACTGGCACACTATCACGGCTATCCTCATCAATTAAAAAGCCAAGTTGCCAAATAAGCCTGTATCTTAATAAGGGGAAAAAAAGAAAACAAAGGTGTGTAGTACAGTAGAAAGGGACTTGATGGTACCAGGAAGATCCGGGTCCAAGTCCTTCCTTTGACACATCCCAGCTGGGTGACCTTAGACAAGTCACTGAATCTCTATTACTCTAGACAACTTTCTAAGAGTGTAAGTTTCAGAGAAGGCACTGCTTACATTGGTAGATGGAGTTTCCTCACCTGGGAGTTTCATATGCCAGTGAAATCACAGATCCAGGCCCTATCCCTATCTGTATTCATCAAAGAAAGGTGTACTCAAATACAGACCACTTTTTAGACAAGAAGTACGCAATAATCACAATTACACACCAACAAAGGTTTCCATGAAAAAGTTCCTTTCTTTGACAAAAAGAAAAAAGATAAAGAACTACTCTTTCCTCCTCTCCAAATCAAAATGATCCAATTTGTTGCTGATTAGACCAGTTTAAGAGCAAAGGTCCCAAATATTTAGGTGAAATTAAATACCATTTGTACTTTAAACTGTCAATGGAACAGTTTCGCTTGATTTGCAATGAACAAGTACTAAAACTCATGAGGTTTTATTCTACCTATTGACCTCAATCTCAACGAAAGCCCCATGCTGGAGACTGTTTTGGCAAACATGTTTCTGGGTTTTTCAAAGCCTTTGCTAAATGGTCCTCAATCTCTGGCAGTTCCTCCCAAACTTGAAATGCTTTAGGTACAGGTCAGGTACCAGTATATAGCCAACAGTCAATAAACATTTATTAAGTGCCTATTATGTACCACGGGCAGCTACACAGCCGGGTAGATAAAGTGCCAGGCCTGGAGTCAGGAAGACCCGAGTTTAAATCCAGCCTCAGACACTTATTAGATGTGTGATCCTGGGCAAGTTACTTGACTTAAGTCATTTGTCTAGGAGGAAATTAGGTGGTTCAGTGGATAAAGTGCTGGGCCAGGAGGCAGGAAGATCTGAGTTGAAATCAGGCCTCAGACACTTGTGACCCTGGGCAAGTCACTTAAGTCCTGCCTGCATGAAAAACTGGAGAAGGAAATGGCAAACCACACTAGCATCTTTGCCAAGAAAACTTCATGGGCACTATGACCCATGGGGTCACGAAGAGTCAAACATGACTGAACAAGTGAATGACAATGATGCGCCAGGCACTGTGCTAAGCGCTAGGGATATGAATGCCCAAAAAGGCCAAAATGGGTGTACCAAAGCACCGCCCCAGAGGTACACTGCAAAGCTTGGAAAGACAACGAAGCACCAGCCATGGAACTAGATCAATTATCAGTTATGATCACCTGGGCACAGGTCCTCACCTCGGCCATCAGGCTTCAGGTGTGCAGTCCAGTTAATCCTAGAGCGGAACTCTAGCATGGTGTCTCCCCATCAATTTTGTCCTTTAAGTCAGAGGTTATTTTTGTGGCTTCTGTAAGGAATTTTCCATCGGATTGCATGGGCCAGTATCTGGGGCATGGTCCTCTGCCCTCCTTCCTCTCTCTTCTCCTATATTCTTTCCCTTACTCTTGCAAATTCTTTTCTACCTTATTTCTTCCTTCTCCCCATCTGTGCACCTAAGAGGCCTGCCAATGGCATCCAAGGGGCACGCATGGGCATTATTTATCCATGTCTTGTGACACCTAGGGTCAAAGACATTATTCTACACTGGCTATATTATTTTTATTCTTGTTCACTCTTTTCAGTCATGTCTGACTCACGACCCTATTTGGGGTTTTTTGGCAAAGATACTAAAATGGCTTGCCATTTCCTTCTCCAATTCATTTTACAGATGAGAAAACTGAGGCAGACAGGGTGAAATGACTTGCCCGAGGTCACACAGCTAGTAAGTGTCTTGAGGCCGGATCTGAACTTCCTGACTTAGGCCTGGAGTTCCACCCACTGTACCATCTAGCTACTGGCCTATACTTTACTTCTTTTAAAATACATATTTATTTATGTATACATTTATCAGCTGTCCCTTCCAATCCTGCTGCCCCCATCATTGAATAACAACAACAAAATCTCATCATAATCATGCACAGTCCAGCAAAACAAATCCCCATGTTAGTCATGCCCCCAAATGCATGATTCTCTCTGCAGTTTTAAGGTGATCGGCTCTCTGGCAAGAAGTGAGGGGCCTTTTTCATCTTCAGTCTTCTCGATGTGTGGTTTTTCATTGCATCGATCAGAGTTCTAAAGACTTTCAAAGTTAGTTTTCTCTATCACTTGGCTGTCATTATGGAAATTGTTCTCCTGTTTCTGTTCACTTCCCTGGGCATCACTTCATAGAGCTCTTAGTTTCCTCTGAAACTTAGCATTTCATCATTTCAGGTGGCACAGTAATATTTCACGACATTCACATATTATATTTCATTTCATTTAACCACTATACTTATAAAGTAAGCTGTCTGTCAGCACCAACACCAAAGGTGAATTGTGAAGAACAATACCTGAACTTTCTTCAACATGATATTGGAACAAATGCTAACACTGCTTGCTGATGACCTGATCTTACTTCTCCCCTTACCTGGTTACTTTGGTATTCATGAGACATTGCTGCAGGGTGTCTGCCAGTCTCTGATGCACTAGAGAATAACGTATGAATGCTCTTCCCTTCCCAAGAGATGTTCGGAGCTGGAAGAGCAAAAACAGAAAGAAAGGAACAGCCTTGAGATTCCAAGTGACCCAGCCTCCCAGGTGCCCTTCAAAAAGAGCCTCAGGAAGACATTTTCACCAGTTTGCAAATACATCATTGGCTTCAGTCACACAACCCTTTTGGCAAAAGGCATTTAACAGTCTCCTTTACCATTCCACAACTAACTAACCAAATGGAAATAGAAAAAAGCATGAGTTAATTCAATTTCTCGTGGGCCCCCTGGTTTCCTAGTCATTTGCAAGAGTAGCAAAACAGATGAAGGGGGATCAGTTCTTCTCCAACACTTCCATGAAAAGGCTCCCCGTGGAATCCATTTTTCCTTCCTTGGTTAAGTGAAAAGGAGCTGGGGGTTTACTCCCAGGCACAGAGCTCTCTCTGAACAGAATTCAAACAATTCAAACTATTCTGGGGTGAAGGATGGACATGTGTCAGATAACAGGATCGCCTAGTAGAGAACATGTGGTCCTTGCCTGCTGACCCCACAGAGAGGACTACGATGGAAAGTTACCTTCCTCAACAGGTTTTCTTCACCTCCGCTGCCAAAGAGTCTGTAAATACTTTGGACCACAAAAGTTGATTCTTGCCATTTGTGTTTGATAAACTCTAGATAGAAAGTTGATACGACTTAAACTACTTTGGTGTGTAAACTCACTTATCCAAACATAATCTCAAAGTAAAACTGATTGGGTGATTTTAAAGATTGTTTGATGGGAGCAGGGGTGAGGAAGGTGTCATAGCACCAGTATTTCATCTTGTGCTGTTCCAAAGATCAATTACCTTTCGCCATGTGGCACAACTCTGACAGCTGGGAGCACGGGCCTATCTAGGCTAAAGAAATAAAGGGAAGCGCCACAGATGATACCTGAGATGAGTCAGTCCACTGTGTTTCCCTAACCTGATTCATTCACTCAAAGGCCCAATGCAAATGGTGGAAATCCCTCAATCAATTGACAAACATTAATGAAGTGCTGACTGTGTACTAGGCACCATGTTAGGTACTACAGCTCACAAAGACAAAAATCAGATTGTCCCTGCCCTGCAGAAAACAAAGCTTCCCAGTAATATCACATCCAACTAGATTTCCGGCACAGACGTGGAGAGAAAGCTGCATCCCCAGCTGGAAAGTCAGAGATAGTTAAAATTGCTATGTTGTTGTTCAGTCACTCCAGCTGTGACGGACTCCCTGAGACCCCACTTGGGGTTGTCTTGGCAAAGATCCTGGAGTGGTTTATCATTTCCTTTTCCAGCTCATTTTACAGATGAGGAACTGAGACAAACAGGGTGAAGTGACTTGCCCAGGGTCACACAGCTAGTCACATTCAAACTCAGGATGACGAGTCTTCCTGACTCCAGGCCTAGCACTCTATCCACTGTGCCACCTCGCTGCCCCAAAATTCCTCTAGGATACACCTTAAAATGCTCAGCAAAAAAGGTTCTTTTGAAGTTAACAGGCACCATAAGCAAATATTATTAAGTTACTAACTTATACAGTACAGAAAATCAATTAGGGAAAGATATAGGAAACTGGTTGAGTCTCTAGTATTAATACATGTTATAACAACTCACACGATAGCTCCTTTCTTCTGTAAGTCACTTTCCCACATTTTACCAGCACACATAGTCAGGTTCTATAACAACTGCTTTAAAAGTGTGAAACCATGGTAAACTACAGAAGCGGCAACACGCTTCCTCCCACCGACTGGCTACTCTACCCCCAAGACTCAGAAAACCAGCCTGGCCAGCAAATGGCTAGTCACAAAGCATTTATTAGGGGCCTGCGGCTAGACTAATCAACCGCTGCTGAACACACCGTGCCCTGACCCTACCATGATGTCGCTGGGCCTCTTCAAAACCGAAGGATGAACAACGCTAAGTGCCTCCTATGGGCCAGGCACCGTGCTAAGCACAGGGGATACAAAGAAAGACAAAAGAAAGTCCTTGCCCTCAGGGAGCTTACAATCTAACGGGGAAGACAACAAGCAAACAATTACGAAAACAGAAGTTAAATTAGATGGGCAGTTTGCGTCTGCTGCTTTATGAAACCATCACTGGTTTAGTAGAAAGAAGGTTGTGATGAGGATGCCAGCAACCATCTTACTGGGATCCCCGTATCCAAATGCCTCTCCCACTGACAAACCAGGGGAGAGCAAAACGTTTGGAGGGTGGCGATCAGGACCTCCCTGCATAGGAAGTCAGACTGACAATGCATTTTAACATGAAGGACTCCAACCCATCATCAACCTATGCATCCCTATGCAGGATGACGCACATCTATTCTGTAGTCCCACACCTGCCTACACAGACACACATACACAGATACACACACGCGCAGACACAGGCATAGACACACACTCAGACACAGACACAAACACACCCTCTGAAAAAACAAGCATGAGCTGCTCTAAGGGAGGAAAGGATGGGATAATGATATATAATGACAAAGAGAAGCCAGAACTGCTCAATACTTATTTATCTTCTATTGACTCTGCCAAGGACAATGAAGGTCACAACATATTCCCCATTCCACCTTCCTTTGGGGTTCCATAATTCTTCCCTTACAGGACTTTCTTTAAATAACATCTTAAATAAAAGATACTGTTACTTTAAAAACGAATAGTTCATATTAGACTAACCTCATCTCCTTTTTTGATATGGTTGCTAAACTGATACACTGTAAATACAGTTAACCTAAATTTTAGCCTAGAATTTGATAAAGTCTCTCACGCTATTTTTGTGGCAAAGATGGAGAGATATGGGCTAGAAACCTTTCCACAGAGAAGCCAGAGGTGGTTTCACAAAGAAATAGATGCAAACAGTTAGATGGCTTCAGAACTAGTTGGAGACTGGATGGAAAGAGCTGTCAAGAATGCTTTCATGTCAGCATGGAAGGAAATCTCCAGGAGAGTATCCCAGGGATCCCAGACCGTGGCGTCCAAAAAGACCATGATCTGACATGACAATGAGTGAAATCTACAAAGATTAAGTCACTGTGTTACTAAAGACCTTCAATGATGACTTGAAGACATGGGTAGCATGTTAATTAATGTGCCTATGACTCTACAATAGGAGGGACAGCGCACACACAAATGACCAAAATGACCACGGGACCCAAAAGGATCCCAACAAGCTAGACTACGGGTGAGATCAGCTAAGATGAAAGCTAATGGGAATAAACGTAAAGTCTCATCATTGGGTTCAACAAATTAACTTCACTGGCACAACATGGGGAAAGTCCAGACAGATTTTGCTTGAAAAGCACCTAGGGTTCTTAGAGGATTGTAAGCTCAAGATGAGCCAATTGTGTAATATCAATTAATCAATCAATAAACATTTATTAAGCATCGACTGTGTATCAGGCACCGCGCTGAGCGCTTTATAAATATTATCTCGCTTGCTCCTGTGAGGGGTCATTCCCATTTTTTTGTTGTTGTTCAGTCATTTCAATCATGTTGGACTCTTTGTGACCCCTTTTGAGGTTTTCTTGGCAAAGATATTTAAGTGGTTTGCCATTTCCTTCTCCAGCTCATTTGACAGATGAAGAAACCGAGGCAAACAGGGTGAAGTGACTTGCCCAGGGTCACACAGCTAGGAAGTAGCTGAGGCCAGATTTGAACTCAGGAAAGCAAGTCTTCCTGACTCCAGGCCCAGCACTCTATTCACTGTACCACGTAGCTGCCTAAAATTACTGACATAAAAGAAGAATTGTATATTTAGCACTTTAAAAAATAAAGATGTAAAAAAAAAAAGCTAGTACTGGAGAAAAAATGTTTTCTGTGTATCTTCTTCAATAATTAAAGGTCCACAGGTTTATAGGCTCATGGGACTGAGAGCAGAAAGAGGCCTTAGGGATCATCTCATCAGACCTTCTTCTCTGAGCCCCAATTTTTTTAACTGACAAAATAGACTAAAGTCTCCCAAAGCATCTTCAAGCTCTCTAAGATTTTGTCAAGCTCTACATCCTATGAAATCCCTTCACTTGGCAGCCAGGAAAGCTGAGGCCCAGAAAGATTAAGTGACTCATCCACAGTTACACAGCCAGTCAGTCATTTTTAAAACTATGTTTTAAATTAATTTAATTTTTTAAAAATGCTAAACATTGGAAATACAAAAAGAGGCAAAAGATAGTCCCTGCCCTCAAGGAGCTTACAATCTAGTGGGGGAGATAACAAGCAAACAAATACTTAGAAACTAGTTATGTGCAGGATAAATTAGGAAATAATTAAGAGAGGGGCGGTACTAGAATTAAGAGGGTTGGCAGAGGCTTCTCATAGAAGCTGAGGTCTTGCTTGGGGCTTGAAGGATGCCAGGGAAGGCAGTAAGCATTAGCACACAGGGAGCAGGTACCAGAACTGGCGTATCCAACAATCGGGAAGACGTTCGACATAGCGAGAAAAGTGCTGTCTCTGCTTTCAGAAGAGGCCTGAGTTCAAAGAACACCTGGGACACTCGAAGAGCCCTAGTTTCTTCATCTGTAAAATGGGAATAATAATACCTGGACTTCACAGGGTTATTATGAAGGTCAAATCAGGTAATGGATGCATGGCACTTTGCAGACTTTGAAAGCCCTATGTAAATGGAAGTTATTATTGTTATTGTAATTAGTACTATTATTTATTCCCAGGGCCTGACTCAAAATCTACTATGCCATATTACCTTTTTCTTTTAGTTTATAAAGCATTTTTTATTTACCATATTCAAGTAATATTTTAATATCTACAAGATACACTTATTAAAAGAAACATAAGTGAATAAACAAGGAAGAAGACAATCCATCCACAACGGAAGATTCCCCTCTATCCCAGACAAACACATTCCTCCAAAGAAAGTCAACAGTGCCTCTGAAGCAGCCTGATACACCTGTTTCAGGAGGGTCTGTCCGAGCCCAAGGAAGCCCACTCTGCCCTGCTCGTTACAAGCTTCACGTAACTGGAGAAATCCTGGCTAAGTCACAGGATGGGTGCAGAACGCCCCAATCAATCATACACCTTCCGCCCTCACTGCACTAGGCAGAGACCACTAAAGTTAATAAAAAATATTCGTGAAGCACACTCAGACAAGCAGTTTCAATTATTCCAAACCATTCTTTTCAGCCTAAGTCATCAGAGTTTGTTTTCCTCTCAGAGGTGTTAGAATCTATGTGTATAGCACTGCCCGTGTCAAACGCTAAAAAACCATATCTTTTTTAAATGAAAAATAATTTCCCTCTCACCAGTCTGTTAAATGACCAGCCAATAAGTTCTTTTCAAACCAAACTCTGCAAATCCGGAGTGTGATTTGAGAAAAAGCACAGGAATTACGGGCTGCAGAAACTGGCATCTTTTTTGCGAGCTGCATCATTGGAAGCAGTGGGGATTAGGAGCGTCGCTCTCCCCAAACCTCATCTGCCTCAGATCAGAAGCCAAGAATGTCTGAATTGCTCATGATGCAGCAGATGAGGAGGGAAGGATAACGCGGGGGAGAGGACAGTCAAATATTCCATCCAGATTCATGAAGCAATCACATAACTCTCCACCTTGCAAGGCTTAACTAACTTATCAAGTGAGATCTTTAAACCATTAACCTACAGTAACCCCTACAGTGACCTCAAAGAGCCTCCAAGTGGCTCCTAAGAGTGAGGAGGGGTCCAGGCCCCTGTGACTATATTTTGGGGGCTGCAACTGGGGGGAAATGTTTAGCTCCGAGTTGCACGTTATTTAAGCTTTCTATATAGTATACCTGCCACCCTTCATCAATACCAACAAACAGCCCAAGCTGGTCTGACTCCAGGAATTCTTTGCAGCGACCCCATCAGGCTTTGGGTGTGGCCAACATAAGTGCTCATATGTTCTCTTTAAAAATTGAGGAAATTTAACAGAAGTAATTTTTTTTAAACAAGGAGAAATGAAACTCTAGGCCCAGTGCCTCTAACTATAAGCATAGCAGTGTTTATTCATTTGTGCCCAAAGGAAGAATCTTTGCTTCTGGACAAGGTTTGGGCACCACAGCACATCACTGCTGTACGGGTCCTGTTCAGAAATGCCCAGTTAATGCAAAGTGAAACGTACTAAGGCCAGTGTCTGCCTTGCAACTTGATGGTCAGCACCCTGGAAAGTCAATCAATCAGTTGCTACTTCTTATAGAATTCTAGCAGTGCATACTGCAACGCAATACATAATGTGAGTAGTATGTATTGGTAGGAGGTAGAAGATGTAGTCCCGACCCCTGTGTAGCTCCCAATCTAACCTAGGGAGGCTTGATCACCTAAAAAGTCATATGCAAAGTCAAATGGTATTCTATTTATTTTAAATCCATGCTGCCTGGGAAAACATCTTACAGGAGGTGTCTAAACAACATCTTTTTTAAAAATAGCATTTTATTTTTTTCGAGTTACATATAAAGAAAGTTTTCAATATTTACTTTTATAAGATTTTGAGTCCCAAGCATTTTCTCCTCCCCTCCCCTCCCCCTTCCCCAAAATGGCAAGCAATCTGATATAGGTTATACATGTACAATCATATTAAACATATTTCCACATTAGTCACACTGTGAAAGAAGAATCAGAACAAGAGGGAAAACCAAGAGCAAGAAAAAACAAAAAAGGGTGAAAAAAGTACACTTCCATCTGCATTCAGACTCCATAATTCTTTCTCTGGATGTGCATGGTATTTTCCATCATGAGTCTTTTGGAATTGTCTTAGATCATTGTACTGCTCAGAAGAGCCAAGTCTATCAAAGTTGATCTTCGCACAATGTTCAAGCAATATCTTTTTTAAGTACTTAATATAAGAAACATTTACCAGACCTTTTTTCCAACTTGTGTCTTAGTATGCTTAAGACTTAAGACATTTCTCTGCATGGTAAACTTAGTTAAGCTTTTTTTTTCTGAGTTCAAAATAAGTATTAACAAACATGAAATAAATCTGAAATAGACTGCTTTGCCCTTTGCCTTATTTCAGGAGAGGAAAAAAAGTTTCATGTTCATTTTTTTTTCACTCTTGTAGTACAAGTTGTTTGAAAAGCCAAGATTGATTAGTGACAGACCTTGTTCCGGAAGGCTCAACAGCTCTACCAACAGACAGAGGAGAGTGGCAGGTCATACATCCTCTGCTAAGCAGTCCCACTTACCTCTGAAATAGACTTGACGAAGCGGATGCCATCATTGGCTCCTTTCACCTTAGCCAGACAGTCACAGAAGTAATCCCAGTAATCTTTCCTGTTCCCTAGGAGAGTGGCCTTCTCCTTTTGGTCAAACTGTGTTGGAGAAAGAAGAGAATATCTAAACTCCAATTTTCACCACAATGCTCAAAGGCTAACAAGAAGTAACGAGAAATCCCACCCCCAACCCCCCAAGGAAATCTTCATGTATACAACTACGTCAGCTCACACCAAAATTGTTATTAACTTGTGAATATTTGAAAAAGAAGTCTGGAGACTACACTCAATGCATTTACTTAAAGTGCATCCCGGCCCAGGTAGGTGAATAATTAAGACTTGGTACTACGTATTCAAACCTTAGGTTATTAGTTTGTTCTCAGACTCTGCTATATACATGCAAACACACACACACACACACACACAAATATCTTCTTAGCTTCAAGTCACTTCAAATCTAAAACCTGAAATAAGGTCTGGTTAAAAGGAAATGACCAGACATATTTTCACAATGAAAAAGCATGGTATCAATTGAAAAGGCACAGGAAAGTATTTCACTTGGACATGTCAGTTGGTAATTTCTCTGATTTGCTCTCCTTACAGCCACACATTTTGCTGGGAACTCTACTGGTAATACAGTGGAACTTGAAAGATACGTAACAATAATTGTAGCTGAAATGAAGGTTTATGGAGCACTTTTACAGACATAATCTCATTTGATCCTTATTTCTCAATAAATTTTTATTTCTTCAGTTATGAAAGACCTCGACACACTGTCTAACTCCAATGACTAAAATCTCTAAAAATGTCTTTGTGTTTAAACACATCCTAAATCCACACTGGGTCTTCCAAGGTACATACTAAAGGATGTTCTACTCAAGTCTGAAGATGTTGTATAAATACAAAGGGCACGTGGGCTTCATAATGCACACTGAAAATGACCCCAGTGATGCTGACTGGCATTTAAGATAAATACTCAGGAACCTAACTAGAGGATCCTTAGGCAGGACCAACAGACAGGAAGACAAGTGAGCCTACACATGACTGACCTGTAAAAGATACTCAAGCTTGTAGGAAAACTTGTGCAAGTTGGTGCTGTCATCTGTAATTGGCTCCCCGAGATCCTTAAACTCCTTGCTGAGTTCAACCACAGCATCTTTAAGACAAAAACCAGAACAGGTGATCGGAAGAAGCTGCTGGAAGGCTAAGGACGGGTGTGAGAAGTAACCAACAATTATTGTAAAATAAATTGAAAACATGCAGCGTAAAAAGCAAACAGCAGCTTTTGGCCAGATGTTGTAGGTCATAGCGTTTCTTTACCCCATCAGTACAGTATGGCAGAGCGGACGGAGCCCAGGTCTTGGGAGTCAAGAGTCTTTATCGTGGTTTGGCCACTTCAGTCACGTCCGATTCTTCATGATCCCATTTGGGGTTGGTTTGTTTTTTGGCAAAGATACTGGAGTGGTTTGCCGTTTCCTTTTCCAGCTCATTTTACAAATGAGAAAACTGAGGAAAACAGGGTGAAGTGACTTGCCCAGGGTCACACAGCTAGTAAGTGTCTGAAGCCAGATTTGAACTCAGGAAGATGAGTCTCCTAATTCCAAGCCCAGTACTCTGTGCCACCTAGCTGCCCTCAGGAAGTCAAGAGATCTGGGTTTAAATAACACCTCAAGCACTCACAAGCTATGTTTGAGGACAAGTCACTTATTCTTTCAGATGCCCCTGCTTCTGGGCAAAAGGCATCCCACCCCCTCATAGGGTGGTTGTGAGCCAAGCACATTGCAAACCTCAAAGTACTATAGAAATGTGAGTTGTTACTATTAATGCTCGAGTTATCTTTTCCATCTCTGCAACAGCTGGCACAGAAGCTACTGTTATTTTCATTGTGGTATTTCTGCAAATACTCATCATGAGTGCTAAAATATGAGATGACCAAATGACCCATAAGATGGTATCTCCTATTTTCTCTGAATGCAGGATTTAAAACAAACCCAATACCTCCACTTAGACAATACCAAGATGATGAGAATCAGAAATAAGAATAGACATACCAGGGTAACACCTTCTACTTGAGGGTATTATCACAACAATGTGGCATGCTCATTTCACACTTTAAAACTGCTTTTATCTACATTTTATATTGATCGTCTACTACAGATAGGGCTCAGGGCCAGGAGCAAACTGATCTTTGCTTTTAGGAAGCATTATTTCATTTTTTATGCTTCATAGTAAGGCATAGGAGACAGGATTGAAATTATTTTAATTTTGTTTAATTTTTACAGCTATTTTTGAATCAAATGGAGACAGTAACTAATGTGCCCCCGATCCAACATGAAATGGATGAATAAATCCTAGAAAAGTTCTTTTCAGGCTCTATTTTCCCCTGCACATTGGTTTTTGACCTTTGGAACCAAACTGTGGCTTTAGCTGCTCGGATGTGGTCTCCAAAGTTAGGGCATCCTCATCTGTAGATACCACCTAAGAACAGCTGAGCCTTCTGACCAGCAGGGAATGGTCACCTCTGACTCCAATGGCATGAAAGAAGCTGACCACGCAAGATCATGTTGCAATGAAAGTGGAAAAGAAAAAAGCCCGTGGCTGAGCATCTAGTCATCTCATCGCCAGCTCAGGCGACACGCATGTCCACAAAACTAGCAGGCCAGAAAGCTTCTAAATTCTTCTTGGAAATTAACTGTGTGGAATAAAACAAGGGTCCTGCTCTCTGGGACAAATGCAGAAATGTGATCTGTTCTTCTTTATTTCTAGTTCTGTGCAGAACCACACTGCGATGGCTCAGACCCGTGTCTGTCTTCACAGCCCGCAGAGACCACCCAACAGAAAAAGACTACGGCAGACCTCTGACTGGTGAAATGCTGCTGGAAAGCAAAGACGAGGAGAGAAACGGCACTCCCGAAGAGGGACGACCTGGGCGATCTTTTCCAGGAGGACAGATGATAACCAACAACAATGTGTATTCATACAGTCAGTCAGCATTAGCTTAGCGCTTTCTACGTGCCAGGCTCTATGTGAAGTCTTGGGGACTCACAAAGGGCAAAAAGAGACCCAACCCTCAAGAAGCAGACATCGGGGGAGAGAACCTGCAGACAGTGAGAAACATACGAGGCATATAAAAAGTAGAAAGAAGGTCATTTGAAAGGGAAAGGCAGCAAAGTTGGGAGGAGGGGAAAAAGCCTCCCAGAGAAGACGGAATTTGAGCTGAGTATTTAAGCAAGTTGGGGAAACTGAGGCAGAGACGAGGAGGAAGCCAATACAAAGACACAGAGATAGGAGACGGAGAAGACGAAGGAAGAGCAAGCAGTCCCACGTGGCTGGAGAGTCGAGAAAGGCAGGGCAGGCCGGGTAGGAAAGAACTCCCGATGCCAAACAGAGGACTTTGTTTGAGCCTGGAGGCAATGGGGCCATTGGAGTTTACTGAGTCACACCTCTAGTTTAGGAAAATCACTCTGGCAGCTGAATGTAGGGTAGATGACAGTGGAAAGAGATGAGGCATGGAACCAAGTAGGAGCTACTGCCGGTCAAGGCAAGAGGTGACGAGGGGCTTTGTCAGGGTGGGGGCTACGGAGCACAGAGAAGGTCGTGTGCAGGAGGGATGCTGGGAAGCACAGCTGGCACCGGAGAGCAAGGGGTCAAGGAAGACAGCAAGGTGCCACGTCTGGGAGCCTGGGAAGATGGCGTCTTCGCCAGTCATAGCAAAGGTCAGAAGGGCGGAAGGGGAAGGAGGGGCAGGAGGAGGGGAAAGAGCTCTGCTTTGGAGACGGTGAGCTTGAGATGCCTAATTCTAGATGTCTACAAGGCAACTGGTGACATGGAACTGGAGTGCAAGAAAGAGACTAGGGCTGAATATGCAGAGATGAAATCTCACACATAGAGATGATAACTGAACCCATGGCAGCTGGGGAAATCACCACATGGGCCCGTGGGTTCTTCACCTTTTTTTGTGTCATGGATGTTTTTGGCAGTCAGGTGAAGTTTATGGATCCCTTCTCAGAATAACATTTTTTAAATGCATAAACCAAAATACATAGAATTACAAAGGAAGACAGTTATGTTGAAGCAGAGTTATGGAAATATTTTTAAAAACAAGTTCGTGGAGCTCAGATTAAGAATTCTTGGTATACAAGGCAGCTAGGTGGCGCACAGGATAGAGCCCTGAAGTAAGGAGGACCTAAGTTCAAATGTGGCCTCAGATCAAACACTTGACACTTATTAGCTGTGTGACCCTGGGCAAGTCACTTAACCCCAATTGCCTAAAAACAAACAAACAAAAAAGGAATTCTTGGTATAAAGGGAAAATAAAGAGGGTTCAGGACTGAGCCTTGGGGGGAGGGGGCACCCATGGTTAGTGAGCATGGCTTAGATGAAGAACCAGAAAGGGGCACTGGGAAGGACTGATCATATAGGTAGGAAGAGAAGCAGGAGAATATAGTGTCAAGAAAACCTACAAAGGAAAGAGAATCCAAGAAAAGATAATAAATAGTGTTACTGGCTACAGGGCAGGCAAGAAGGAAGAGGACTGAGAAAAGGTTATTAGATTTGGCGACTAAGAGATCACTGTCAGCTTTTGGGAGGATAGTTTCATTTGAATGATGAGGCTGGAAGCCAGCCTACAGAGGGTTAGGGAGAAAATGAGAGTGGGGGAAGTGCACACATCTAATGTGATAGCTTTCTCAACAAATAGATAGAAACTGAAGGTAGAAAGAGATAAAGATAATCAAGGTCACGGTGGGAATAATTAGTGGTCATGAGGGACGGGGAAAGATGAGATAAAAGACTGATCAGATGGAAGAATTTTAGAATTCATGAAAAATACGGAAGTGGAACACTTGGGGTCCGCAGCAAGATCAAGGATATAATTTTTTTGGGGGGGAGAGGCAATCAGGGTCAAGTGACTTGCTCAGGGTCATACAGCTAGTAAGTGTCAAGTGTCTGAGGCCGGATTTGAACTCAGGTCCTCCTGACTCCAGGTGCTCAATCCACTCAAGGACATAATCTTTGTATGTAGCTGAGGCAGCATGGAGACATAGGTCAAATATGGCACTGGGAAGCTGGGATACTAGAGAGACCGTCAATATGTATGTTAAACTCCCCTGCTATGAGGACAGGAGTTATGGTGGAGAGAGTTTGAGACGGGCCCTAGATTCCCACCCAGGACATTGTCCTGGGTTTTGACAGATACTACCCACGAGGATCTGAATTAAGTGATAAACATGGCTCACATGAACCTCAAAGAAGGAGAGGCTGCTGAATAACGGTGGCAGGGAGAGGGTCCGTAAGTGGCAGTGGGGACCAAGGAATATTCCAACTCTCCCACCAAGATAAGTGTATCGGGTTTGGGGAAGTACGAAAGAAAGTCCAGCCAATGATAAAAAGCTGGGGAGGGGGACCAGGGCTCAGTCAGTGCTGGAATATGGAGGGAGTGACAAAGGAGGTTATCTTAGTTGAAAGGAAGTTTGTTAATTATGGAACACGCATGTCAGAGGGCCTTAATTTTGACAAAGAAATTTCTTCCCATCAACCCTATGATACAGGTAGTGCAAGTATTGTTCCCATTTTACAGATGAAGGAACTAAGTCTTAAGAACTAAGACCTGGTAATTTGCCAAAGGTCACATAGTTCAATAAATGTCAGGGGAGAAATTTGATGCCAGGTGTCCCCACTCTAAATCTAGCAAGTGTTCCGCCCTACTTCACTGCCTCCCGGAACATTCAGGTAGCCTGCCTCGCTTGCTTAGAGAGTGGCAGAAAGTTTCCTTCAAAAATTGGCCTGTCCCATCCAGTGCATAACAGCCTGTATCTTAAGCAGAAATGTAACTCACGTAGTTTATGTGGGGTAGTTCAAAAAGAAAGACTGAAATAAGTCAAAACGAGATCTTCAATTTTGTTTTCCAATTGATTTTGTAATGAGAGAAGCAATTGGTAAGGTGAGAGCTTCTTAAAGAAGGTCTGAAATCTGAGCTGAAAATGTTTTGACATCAGATAGCCCTCAAGTTGACAACTTCCCACAGCGCAAAGATCCAAATGGAAATTTTACTAACAGCCACAAAAGCACTGCTCTCTACCCACCCCAATCAAATTCAAACCCCAAAGACGCAGCCCCAGCTGAACGTCAGCGACAGGGCTTTTACCTTGCAAATCTCTGATAATCCTCTGCAGCTGGCTTTCTGCACTTGATGCCATCACGCACAGGAGGTCTGCCCACACCGCCAAACTCGTTACCAGTCAGCAGAAGGATCAAAAGTTCACATCGGCTGTGAACGTTCACTTATCGGAGGCCACTCTAATTTCAGGGCATCTGAACATCAGGGAGAAGGAGGCAGGTTAGCACACTAACAAAAATACACTACCATAAATACCCTATCACCATCACTGCTTAAACAGGCACTTATTTGGGGATAAAGTATTCCTTGATACATATAAATTGGTTGCTTCCTGTGTTTCACCATGGGACTGGTCATCACAAAATCTCACCACAGACAGATCTGGATTTGCTTTTTGCCACAGAACATTCCAATGTGATGAGCTGGTTTAAAGCCAATAAACAAGATTAACATAACAGCATGTGGTTTTCTTTCCTGGCTTCCATCAATTCCTCTTCTTCCCAGGTGAAAAAAAAGTTCTCTAATCCTGTTTTTGTGCGTTGTTTCTACCATGGAAAGGACTAAGAACCAAGCCATCTGTTAGAACTGCCCAGCTCTTCCACCTCAAAGAGGGCTGGAAGTTCCAACGACGGGAGGCCCCACCAGATTTCTATCCCTCAGCTCCTACCCGACATCCTTCCCCCATTTTCCTTCTCAGTTATACTAACCAGCAAACTTCCTCCAGCCAAGACAGCCTGTAGCCTAGATGAACACAGAGCCCAGAAAGTATATTCCTTCAGTTTCTGCACTGCTCAAACTCCACAATATGGGCTGAAACATTCCCCCTGTTCAGTTCTCTGTGGCCTGGCTGTCCAGAGTCCACAGCCTGATAGTTCTGGCATCCAGGCAAGCCTGCCTTCAGAGGCACTTTGAATTCCTCAAGTAAGTAAAGGACACCTCTCTATTTTAAGCTGCATTACAGAATCTCTGCTGGTTACTGCACAGTTAAGGAGTACACTTCTCTAATCAACCTCCCTGCAGACTTACAAGTCAGACAGGTAATACCATTTTTTTTTGCTCTGGGTGTGTTTTGTCCACACATCTTTGGGCATTATTATGTTTCAGAATTCCCTTTAATGCTCTACCCTTTTGGTAGAGCCTAGGGGTGGGGAACCTGCAGCCTCCACACGTGGCCCTCTAGGTCCTCAAGTGCAGCCCTCTGACCAAATCCACTGAGGGTTAGGGTTAGCCATTCAGTCAAAGGGCCACACTTGAGGACCTAGAGGGCCACATGTGACCTCGGGACCTCAGGTTCTCCACCTAGTGAAGTGGACCCCTTCTTAAAGCAATGTTTTTAAATGCATAAAATAAGGTACAGAGGATTACAAAGGAAACCAGTTATACTGAAATACAGTTATCAAAATATATTTTTAAAAAACAAGGTCACAGACCCCAAGTTAAGAATCTGTGCTTTAAAGTATCTACCACAAAGCAATGTTTTTTGCTGACAGTAAAAAATCCTGACGAGATCACCAGTACCTCATAAAAACAACCTCCTCCAACACTTATTCTACCCAGATTAACAACCAGCACAGTCTGGTCCAGCCACATTTCTGAAAAAACAGAACAAAACCAAAAAAAAACCAAACCAAGCGAAAAACCTCCTGCTGCCTAATGAAGGCCCTAAGCAGCACCATGACTAGGAGTGGGAGGCCTGCAGTGAAGAATAACAAAGTTCAATCAAGCTTCAGACACGTACTGACTTTGTGACACTGGGCAAGTCACTGAACTTGTCTGCCTCAGTTTCCTCAACTGTAAAATGGGGATAATAATGGCACCTACCTAACAGAGTTGTGAGGATCAAATGAGATTGTATTTGTACCAAGCTTAGCACAGTGCCTGGCCCAAAACTGGAGCTTCATAAATGATGATTCCCTTCCCTTTCCATCCCTAGCTTGTCCCAAAGTGTGTGACTTGGAGATCTATCATGCTAGGACCATTTCATAATCCATTCTCTCTTCCTACCCCTTACAGCCCTTACTTTAGGAGTGAAAACAAAAAGTCTAGAATTGACCCTTCCCTTTTTCTCCTCTCCCCTCCCCATCCTTCCTTCCTTCCATCCTTTTTCTCCTCTCCCCTCCCCATCCTTCCTTCCTTCCATCCTTTCTCCTCCCTCCCTTCCCCGGCCTAGAAGTGCAATGGTGCAGATGTCTGAGGAGGCTGCAGAGCCCACTAAGGCGGACATCACAGGGCTATGCCAGGACATGCAAGCTGACAGCTACCAACGAAGGCTAGAAACTTCTGGAAAATAGGAACAAACTGACTAGCCTGAAGTATCTGGAAATGAAAGATAACGCAGTAAACATAAGTAGAAACCTAAAGGCCTTAAACCAGAAATCTGCAGCACTCAGGCCTTATCTGGATCAGATCACTTCAACTGCGGAGCAGCTGCCAGGAGCAGGCAGCCTACAAGTTGGATGCATATTCAAAGAAACTAAAAGCAAAGTACAAGAAGGAGGAAATAATTCTTTAGCACAAAGACTTTAACTACAAGGATGTTTCACAAGAGCTGAAATCCACAAGAGTGGATGGAACTTATCACACTTCCCCTGCTCCCATTCCATAAAGGGAAGCGGCTGGTCCAAGGAGAATCCCAGGAGCCATCTTTGGTTGGATGTGTAACCTTGGCCACCCCTTGGTGTCTTCCTAAAACTGTGCCCCCGGAACGTCATCTTGTCGTGTGCTTCATGGTGTGCCCTGGGCCAAGGCTGGGGAAGCAGGATCAATCCAGTCCAGAGCAGACATGGATGAGAGGCTCTGGTCTCCCTGTCTCCTCCCTTCTTCCCTCTGCCCTAGGGCTCCATGTTTGACTTTGTTCTGAATGTGCTCTTTACCCCCTAAATAATAAGTACTGATTTATGACCCTCAAAAAAAAAAAAAAGTCTAGGAATCCACCCACATCAAAGCTCAACCTCCTTAAAAATATTTACATAACTATTCCTAATGGGGAGGCTATGAATCACTGAGATGACACACCTCAGTGAAGACAATGACACACACTTGACTCCTATTCCAATTCTGATTTGCCCCACAGTGAATTCTAGGTGGAAACACTCTACTCCCTCAGCCCAAGTGTTAAATATACATTTGTAGGTATAACAAGAGGCTGAAAAAAGGACAGGGGAAGCTGTTTCCATCCTGACCTCTCTGGCTAGTTTTCACATTCATGAGCTGGGTCACCCTAAATTCTAATGGAGGGGATCAAGGACAAGGAATGACTCTGGGGCTGAGACTGGCTTCTGTTTACAGGGTAAACAAAAAGTAAGGGTCTCTGACCAAGCAGATGCCTTAGGGCTAGGCGAAGATTACCTTTCTCAGACCCATCAGGAGTGGGGTCTTCATAAAAACAGGAGAAGGATAGATCATAAATTAATAATTAGCCACTAGTATAATCGTATAATATTAATTTCTCTCAAACTCCATGGCCATTAGACCTCTGGCCACAATATCCAACACATACCATCAGCTGTAAAGAATGAAGAGGTAGAGAAACTGTCCAAACAACTCAGTAAGATCTTCGAAATTAAATCAACACGTACTTTAACATGTACTTGGTGACCTCAATGCAAAGGTGGGAATAAACAAAGATGGCAAGAAAATATAATGAAAACATGGGTCAAGGATGAGGGATGAGAAGTCCTACAGATTCACGGCAGCCTCATGTTTCTACATGACGAATACTTTCCTTGAGAAAAGAACTGGTAGACTTTGGACAAGCCAAGCACTGAACAACGTGACAAAAGTGAAACTGATTACATGCTAATGGAGAGGAAATGACTCAATAACGAAGCAGATGCCATCCCTAAATCAATGATCTGTCTACAGTCAAACCACTGGCTTGTAAGGGCAAAGATCAAAATTAATTAGAAAGCTAGTATAATAAAGAGAAAAAGGATATGTTATGTAATTAAAATAACTTGATCCTAACCAATTCAAATGAGTTATTGATACTGAAAAATGGGTAATGGATGGTAGAAAGGCCAGTAATACATTATAATAATTTTATATAGCAGTTATAGCTACACAAATTGCCAAAAAAGAGAAAAGACCAAATGAACCTACAAAGTACCGTGATCTGCCAACACTTTATCCATTTATCAAGAAGAGACAGTAGCCAAAGGCAGTGCCAGTTTAGAATATAAACTCATTTCTGCCATCTTACAAAGAGGAACAAGATTATGAGTATTACCATTTCACAGAGCAGAGAAAAGCAGCAGAGGGTAAAACCAACTTAAGGACCCTTGGAAAGACATCCAACCAACCAGAGTCATCCTGAGGGTATTTAAAAATGAAAATGGAAGGAGGACAACGTGGAAAAAAAAACCAGAAAAGATTTTTTAAGTAAAATATTATTGGTATCTTAGAGCAATCCTTTTTAACAAAGAATACACACACACACACACACACACACACACACACACACACACACACAATAAAATATGTATGTGCATGTGTGGTCTACTACATAAAGATGCGGCTAGCTCCCAGCTGACATGGATAGACCTAATCTAGGACCTAGCCCACCTTTGGGAAGAACTACAGGTTGGCCGTGTTGGCACCACCAAAAGCCTAGGTGTAGGGGGACAGGCAGGATCCAGGGTCATGGAGGCCTGCAAGGCCTGGTGGCCTCTTCTGTTTTCAAGAGGGATATTATGCTATCAACCACACCTCAAATATCTCTGGTCTAAGGCTATGGTTGTGACAGAGTCTAAACACAAGCTGGTTCTCTGACCACTCTCAAGAAATAGGCAGCCCTTAGTTTAAACTCACCAGCTTAGCTCCTTCCCACCAAATGCTGGGTACAGAAAAGACCACCATGAATAACTAATTCTGTCATTCTGTCAGGCCCACAACACAACAATACCACCCATGGGGTTTTCTTGGCAAAGATATTGAAGTGGTTTGTCATTTCCTTCTTAATCCAGTGGATTAAGGCAAACAGAGGTTAAGTGACTTGCCCAGGGTCACACAGCCAGTAAATGTCTTCCTGGCATTCCACCAACTGAGCCAACTGGCCGCCTCCAAAAAGCAACCAACAGAAACCAGAGACATAACAGAGATTAGACTATACAAAAGAATACATGCCCAAATGAGCTCTTCAGCTGGGAGCAAGATAAGTTCCCACTCACAGGGAGAGAGGATCTCCTCCCTCTCTCTCTCTCTTTGGTAAATTATTTTTAATTTTAAACTTAAATACAAAATGGGAGGAAAAACTGCCATGTACACAGCAGACCATAAGAGAGGATTCAATATAAAACAATCAATTTCCATTTCAAGAAAACCTATGTAATAAATACTACACATTGTTTTCAAAGCTGCCCAGCTTTCCTTGGCTTCCTTGTCCGTCTTCTTTTGTTCTCTGCTGCTTTTAACTTAATTTTTTCTTTTCTTTTTTTTCCCATATGTGTAAAATTTTTAAAATTAATTTATTCTGAATTATCAACAATCACTTCCATAAGCTTTTGAGCTTTAAATTTTTTTCCCCCTCCCTCCCCAAGATGGCACACAATCTGATATAGGCTCTACATATACATCCCTATTAAACATATTTTCACATTAGTGATGTTGAAAGTATAAATTAGAACCAATAGGAGGAACCACCAGAAAGAGGAAACAAAACACAACAGAAGAAAAAAATAGCAAATAGTATGCTTCGATCTGCATTCAAACTCTATAGTTCTTTCTTTGGATGTCGATAGCATTTTCCAACATGAGGCCTTTGGAGATGTCTTAGATCCTTGTATTTCTGAGAAGGGTTAGGTCTATCAGTATTAGTCATCACCCAACATGGCTGTTATTGTGTACCACGTTCTCCTGGTTCTGCTC